GATTTCGCAGAACAGTAAGGTGGATATAACGATCATCTGCTGCTGATGTAGCCCTAGGTCTGCCCGTACCTGGACGGCGATCGAATGCTCCAGTCTCTAGGTATCCTCTGTAAACTCGTTGCACCGAAGATCTGCTGATTCGAAGCCTTCGAGCGACTTCACGTTGCGCAATGCCTGCTTGAAGTAATGCTACAGCTTGAGCTGCTTCCTGAGGTGTTGTATCCATTATTAATCGAAAAAAGTAGCAAAAACACACGCGTCTGAGCAAACGATGGACAAAAACTAAAGAAATGATAAGAAATATCCGACTACCCTCATTGTAGAGAAAAAGAACGCTAATTTCAAACTCTGGTGAAAACAGAGCAAATCGTTAGCATTGTGTTTGTTGCTTGATTACAATGTGAGTTGACGATACTTTCGAATTAATTTTTAGTCATTTTAATCACCATGAAACGCACTTTTTGTAGGTATAACTTTGATAGTTGTAAGTTTTATACTTTTTGAGAAAATCGAATCAGAGTTCCTAGGTAGCGGGTGGCTCGGTTTATTTGCTGACCAGTGTATTTCAAAATGAAATATAAACAATGTTGGTATATTATTGCCAGTCTACATCCTTGCGCTTATAAGCGTAAGTTTCATTTTGTCAATAAATCAATTAACCAAATTGAATGTGGCCTAATTTGACTGACTTTTTAATTATTTTCTCTAGAGATCAATAACGCCACCGAAAAAGCTATAGCAGATTTACTGCATTCTGCGTAAACTACTACCATTCTACTGTTACCAACTACTGTATCTTATTTACACCAATAAGTACAATATTCAGACCCTTCGTATGTCATATATATATATATATATATGTCTGTAATTATTATTTAATAAAATATAAGTGTTAAGTTATTTAAGTATTCAATATAATTATTAAATAAAAAAATAGTTTTTTTATGTAGGTATAAATAATAATAAAAAAAATGTTGTATGTATGTATTTATATATATATAATTTAGTGTACAAATCGATGTCGGTATTCGTTTGATGTACATACTTTTCTCTACCAAGTACGCATGACTGTGCCCATACGTTTCTCTGCTATCCACTCTTCACGTCAGATTTGCGGCAAAACTCATTTGGGTTAAGCTCGCCTTTGTACATGCCATTTCCTTGTGGCTTATATTATATATGTGTAGTGTGTACAATGAAAAATAAAATGAAATAAATTAATACAGAGAAATGTACAGATAGGGTTAAGTTATTCGATAATACTTGGTTATTTAATATCTTCGCCTATATTAAAGGTTATAGAGCACTGTTACTGTAACAACCCCCTAAGATCACAAGTAAAATCGTAGATAGTTTTTATAATATACTAGTTACAAAAAATATCTAGAATGTGAGAAACTACTCATTTACATGAAACTACATGCACACCATCCTAATCGTTTAAATTCCAACGCGTGGCATCAGATTACGTGATTGGTAAAAAGTCGCCGGTTCACTCGTGTGCTCTAATTACAGACAAGATTCGGTCGTACCGTAAGCGAATATATATGCGTTTTAAAATTGTACAAGTCACGCGTGCAATGCTGTGAAAACTAATAAACACAGACAGTACTCTCTATTCTACTGTATTTCTACTTATATAAGGTATCGACTTCTCTTTACACATTCATCTGCTAACACTTACTATGATATAAAACCGATGTAAATGCGGTGCGTGCGTACTCTCGTTGAGGTATTTCAGTAAGACTTTGAGACTTCTAAAAACGTATATTACTGATTGAAATAATTATTTGATGAGCATGATCATTTATTCGGTGTCTTTGTGTAGTTAACCTATAATATGCCTGTATTTAGTAATAAGTATAGTCTACTATGTTAACCTGCTGTTAAACATACATATTTAACAGCAGGTAACCATAGTATAGGCTCTGCTTATTTAGGAATCAGGCTGTCTGTGAGGTCTCTCAAGTTATAATTTCTCTTATTAATTTAAAGTTGAACGTCTCTGACACAATGTAAATAACGTATTTTTTCTAACTCTGAAAATATACTTTACCTTCACATATTACATTATTGATAGCTATTTACGTAACTAGCATACCCATAACATTACTCATGCCTTGATACCGCTGTCATTTTAGACATTATCGCGTCGTATGATACATGATAACGTTTATCATTTATTTGAATTGAGAACCACCTAATCTCCTTTTACATGATTTTTTACAAAAAATACTAAACACATAACTGTAGTATCAACATGGCCACTTACTCTTGAGCATGCAAGAAAGTCACTGCAATAATATGCGAATGGTAATTGCAATAAACGTACGTATGCAAAAAGACTTTGTTTTAAATATAGAATTAATGTAAATTCTTAAACCACAACTTTACTGACTTAACTGAATTTGCTTAGAATATCACAGTTAAATAATACATTATGAGTAGCAAATATAGGGTCTGAAACCTAATATTTCTATAATAAGTTTTTTATTAATTAAAATATCTAGAAAACCTATTAAAATAAACCATCATATTTAACGACATAAAATTAGTCAGCTACGTAAATATCGTAGTGCAATTTTGTTTTCATCCGTATACCCACTTATTAAATACAATAAATCAATTTTTCGATAGTCCAAATCAGTTATCTGAAAGAATAATTGATTTATTGTCCTAATTTCACTTCACAACAAAATAAGTCAAGAATATTACGATACACCAGATAGACCCAATCGCTGGTTTATCGCAATGTTCTTGACTTATTTTGTCATGTAATGAAACTACTACGTAGAACATACAACGGAAGCATTCTTTGGATATTTGCTGTTAGTTTAGTTACAACATTTGCAAGGACAGCTATCTAGCATTCATCTATACATACAAATAAATGAAATTGAAGTGTCTGTTTGTAATGTCAAAATAATGGGTTTTATTGAAATTTACACGGTTATTTGCACTATACCTGTGCCTAAAAACCAGTTTAAATATTTTTTTCCGGGTAATCTTCAAAACGGCTTGACCGATTTTGATGATATTTTACTAACATGTAACTGTGTATTTAAGGAGTAACTTAGGCTATTTCTCTTCTCAGAAAAACCCTATCAAATGTTGCCAGGTCCGGTAATCGAACCCGAGGCCTCATGGACTGCAGTCTACACCACTAAGGCAGCGTTTTTCAAATTCTACGCGAACGAAGTCGCGGGTATCAGCTAGTTTAGCATATATCTTATTGGAATAGCATTTAAACTATTAGAAAAGCATAATTTAATTTTTATGTACGTACTAGAACGTAGTTACAAAATTAGTAATAAGGACACAAACTATTTCAGCTTACACAACACAAAACATACATTTATAAGTCTTTTCTATTGTCTATGTAATGTATAATATGTTTATTTTTTTAATGTTAAATCCGTAAGTACTGATCTAAATTTGAAACACAACGTTGCTTCATAATCATACATCGGTTATTTGCATAGTTAATATTCTGGTTTACTGTCCTGATATACCTGTTTTTTTTTTCACCAGCATGACATTACATCTCTTTAATTACGATGTCTTCATACCTAATTCTTGTATTTTATGGCACGACTATATGATAATGATATACACATCTCTAATATTTACTATGATAGCCTCAACAAACAAAAGTATTACAACCTTCGTAGCATCGTCGGTATTTAGAGCGGTAATAATTACGCAATACCTGTTAATAGGTATTTATCAGTCATTCCTTCAGTATTTCATTATTTTTACATTTGGAACTTTACAGTGCATTTTACTGTCGTCAGTATATGACGACAGCATAATCTCGAGAATACTAAGGTGAGGACCACCAAAAACTATAGGTTACCCATCGTTTAATAATCCCAAAATGTTATAAAACAAAAATGAAATATGAAGCTTTAAAATTATACAAAGAACAGGTCATTATTTTACAATTTTCAACACGTTACAGACTGTTACCATCTAATAAAGTAGCTGTGTAGAGAGGAATAACGAGTAAGGGTACAGTACATCCTTGAATAGTTCGGTAGTTGCACAAAATGTAAAAGATTATTATAAAAAAGTTTTTATGAAAGCAGCTCCGTCTTGTGTAATAATCCAAATTATCGATACTATACTTCCACATGCAAGCCAGCTATATGCAGACGATTGACCAGTACTTTGCTAGGCATACTTAAAAATAAGGCTATAACTAATTATTTATTGTACCATAGATCTAAACTCCACTAGATTTGACAATAAGTGAAAAAATCTATTAATGGGATATATGGGAGAATATTATGGGAGATGATAAGATATCTTTTAATCAGCTAACGTAAGACCGGTTACGTCACTTAGCAGCGTACATAACCTAACAAAAGGTGTTTTCGTTTGTCAAATTTCAAAATCATCCTGTACTTAGTCTAATATAACTCATCTTTCCTCTACATTTGACAAAATTACAAAAATAAATGACGTTTAAGTCAAGGTATTACAATGAAAGAGATTCTGATAGTAAGAACTACAAAGACATTCTGTGGTCGGAATAAAACATATGAATTTATTTTAGATCTCTAACACCGGGGAACTAATTATAACAGAAATAATAAAGCTGATCCACCAATTATTTAACTCACAATTTCTTTTAGGAATGAATTTCTTTTGTAATTAAAAATGATTGTGGCTCACAATGTGCGTTACACATTAGTAATGCTTTCAATATTTGTATTATTTATGTTAGCAGTGTAAGACTAGTAGGTTCAACTCGATATTGCACAAAGAGAGAGAAGGGAAGTAAATCTTTAAGTTTACGATTACATCAATGAATTCTACTTTGCATCATCGCTAGTTTAATAATAAATTACGTCATTCGAATAAAAATCTTAACTACTAAGATAATCATAATCACTGAAAGATATTATTATAATGTGTTTGCATGCTCTTGTTATTGGCATAAGAGTCGTATAGAAAAATTATAAAGTACCTATTTTTCACAATATTTTCCCTTCCAGGGTGAGAACTCCAAGCGAGGACACGAGGTATGTTTATAGAAAGAAGTCAACAGCTTTATTGTCTCGATGATGCACTTCGGCAACGTTCTGATACCTTTGGAAAGTCGATTACTTGAACTAAAAAAGCATTTACAATTTCGAAGGTATAAGTTAATTCCCGAAGTACCTCATTCAGGTTCTATAGCTGTGAGCTGTTGTGGGCTTAAAGCGATGCTGCATGAATAATCTGTTGGTCGCAAATTGTCATAATCAAATGCGCAGCATGATAAGCGTTATCACTGTATCTGATACCATGGAGGACATTCCCATCACGCCTGTAGCAGGCAGTCAGAATCGTACCAATGCTTGATACTATAACTTGAGATTCTTAACTCGAATTTTATACTATCCATAGAGCAGCAATAAATAATATTAACCATTTGTACCAAACTGCAATATTTAGTCACTATAATCCAATAATGCATTTATTGCTAAAGGCTTTATTTAAAACCTATTTTAAAAACATTACCCATTTGTGCACAAATGCCCCCGCACACAAATAATAATTGTTGTTTTCAGCAACCACTAAATTTGAATAAGGATTTTAATCATTGGAAAGGAATCAGATTTACAATACTTATGGAATAATACAGTTAATATATTGAATTCCTACTTTTAAAGTTCTAGTTACAGCGATTTCAAATTCATTTTAAATTTAAATGCTTCTTAGCACTTCATAAGCTTTCAATAATGACTAAACTGTAATTCTACAGGGTCCTGCTTTTTTTTATTTTGATCCTACAGTAAATCAAATGGTGTGACCAAGATGTGCCAACCACAAAACTGGGTGACAATTTCACAGAATAGCTTCCCATGGCTGCGCCAATAACATAGTTTCGATGTCGCGGCTTTCTTCCGCCACGATCGACGGAGCTGCGGTCTGGCTAAACCATTCCAATATATAGTAAAATTAGCGTAGTTTGTTAATTGAACAATAAATAAAATAGTCACGACAGACTGAGTGAGACTTGGATTAGGTAAGTAGGCTTCAGGGAAATTACATTTATTTTCTAAGAAAGTCTAAACCGTTCTTGTATAATTGAACTCAAACACATGCCTGGGAGCTGATTAGGAAAAAATGAGATAACATTTTGAAGTCATATTTTTCTAGCTCTCGTCTAAAATTTAATGTGCATCTATAAGTATTTCTTTCAAGTGTATGAAAATACATGCTAAAGCTCCCACTTAATTTTTATACCCCATTTGTAGTAGTATGAACCAGGTGTTCTGATAGTTTCTGGGATTATCTCATATATTATATAGTACCTCAGTTTGAAATTGTCTTCTTTTGTATTGAAAGTTTTGGATCCGTATTTTAGACGTCACAAGGTTAAGTAGATATACTAGCATATTAGATTATACTTAAAAATCTAAAGATTTACTGAGCTTACATTGTACTTCAAATTTAATCAACGTTCGCTTCGTGCCCCGCTGGGCATATCTACTAATGGAAAGTGCTGGACTATCCTCTGGAGAGTCATCGCATCTTGTTCTTCTATAGCACTACTGTCTCATACAGTTTATATAACGATCTAAAAACGATTTTGTGCTCCGTTATAACATTATATGACATTTACACGTTAACTGTACGTAACACGACGTCAATATGTGCGGAATTGAGCCGAATCGAATCATAACTGTTGGCCTCCACACACATAGGAGATACACACTTTGTAAATTGTAGAACTTTATAACTTCTTACAACCGTGGTGATGTTGTGTTCAATATCGTTAGAAGTCTCATTTTAATATTTCAATCATCTTGACGCTACTGTTGTTAGGGGTAAAGTATTTTATTTCTGGATAGCGAACACAACCTAGTGCTTTAAAGAATTTTATTTTGTTAGTAACAAGAAAGAGAATCGTTTTATACTAAATATTTTAGAGTAGAGAAAGGATGAATATGCAGATAATGACTTCTAGAGTAAAAATACCTACAGAAGATTACGCCCTATGGTATATACCTTTAATGTATTATAGCAAAATATAAAAATATAGCAGCTCATAAATAATTTTGTTTTTCTGTCACCAAACGAAGCTTATTGTTATAAATGGTTTGTAAAGTATATGTAATTTACTGAGATTTGAACTAAAATGCACGATCCTTACACCGTACCCGTAACATAAAAAAATTATCTTTCTACTTTATTCAAGCCACTTTTGTACCCTTGGTGCCAATATTCCTTGAAATGTTTACCAAATACATTTATGGTAGCTCTCATCAAATTTACGTAGGGAATCTGTCAATAGCACTCAAATTGAAGTCCCGCCGTTAAGCCAATATTGTTCAGAACCTGTAGATAACATTTATTTACTGGGTTTATGTACATATGCATCACCTGAATGGGAATCCGTATTTTGTAATTTGGTCACAATAATAATAATAATAATAATAATAAATTTATTTCCAAAACAATTATACATAGAAATTTACAGTACATGTTAGTTACAGGACAATTTTAGTCGTCGGTAATATCGAAATATCCATGTTCAATCAGTGAAAAACCCTGCCTTTTAAACTAGGTGACACCTGTATCTTAAAAGACAATGGTTATATTTAAGTATAGTCTTGGCTTATTTTTATAAGTTTATTTTTTTAATTTATTGGTAATATGGTGAACAAAGTACACAACGTGATTTTTCCAATCAATCATATTAACCATCTACTTCGGCCCAGTTCGTTAAATTAACTACAATTTTAGTAATTAAAATTATAAAACAATTTATGAACTACACAAAAACGATAAAAAAAACATAAAATAAAGGATATAAGTTCTAAAAAAATTGTAGACAAAATTTCGGCAATTTTCATAAAAAATCTTCCAATATCTTGAAAATGGTTTAGGATATGATATTTCATAGTAAAATCTATTAGAAATGATGGCAACTACAACTCCTCAAAGTATATAGGTCGACTTACCCAGTAACCCTGTATATAGCATCCTAAAATCAATCAATTGAAAAAAGATTCGACATCATTTACGCTCAATGAACATCAAACCCCATATCTCGACGTGTTAATGCAGACATACAGTGATGCTTGCTTGTTTATGTTGCCTTAGCTCAATATATTCATATGTAAACTGTGTCTTTACGCCATCATCACTAATATTTGTTGTCAATGTGAGTTTGATTGTTTGCTTGTCAAGCTTTCACATCTTAACCGATTATCATAAAACTTAAACTTCTTATCCAGAAGAAAATGTACTGTTTCAGAGGGATCCCTAGATTGATTGGCATAAACTGCACTAACCTGAGCAAAACCACAGGCAAAAGTTAGTCAATAATATAAATAAGATATGTATTGTATTTCTCACATTACTTACCTCGTTTTTAGTGTCGTATAGATACCCTGAGGAGTAATTACGACCCTCAGAAGGGCTAAAGCTTACTATACATCCATAGTTTGCCGTGATGGACATTTAATTGCCACAATCACTTTAAATACCATTAAACGTTTACACAATCTAGGTCTGTTTTAATTGTTACGAATCTGTAGTGGTTGTTTTTGAATCGGTACACACAGTTAATTGGATTGGCCTGTAATTGCTCAGATAGCTTTTGTTATCTATGAAGCAATTATTTGAATAGATCGTTGCCATTAGTAACCGACTATTACAGGTAATATGATGACGCAATTTTTTTACTGATTGTGATTAATATTTTCTATTTGATACGGTACGTCTTGAAGTTCAGTAATAGCAAATATTTAAAATTAATAAAAAACAACTTTTCTACCTTCACTAGTACTGGAAAATGACATAAAAAAAGGCTCGTCGTTAAACTTTATATAGAAATAAGCCATTTTAAAATGTGTGTGTTTTTCGTTAAGTCAAGGCGCTGTTTCGTCCCACAGTGGTTTATTAAAGTTTGACGACAAACTCGCTTTAGCAATAAAGGCTGAGCGCTGTACATCAGCTTATCCTTAAGTAGCACATCTCTATTCTATCGCTTTTTTTCTGATGAAAAGAAAAAAAGCTTGTTAGAAAAGTTTATAATGTTTTTCAAGTGACATGATTTACAATCATCTTGTAACTAATGATAATTTCACTGACTACCCTGAGATACATATAGGAAATTTGATACTAAGCAAATTATGTTTAACGGATTTATCTTCGGAAAATATCCAGCATTTTAATGCATTAAGCTCCAATGTTTCTGTTTTTTTATGTAGATATCATATTAAATTATCCGAACTCACAGACGATTCGAACCTCATTTCAACTTTGATGTACATTCTTCTTGTGTATCATACATCTCCCTTGTCGCTAACAATCATAATTATTGACAAGCATTGACCTAGAAAACCTCGCAGTGGTTGCCAGGAAATTAAATGTCGTTGTTGGCTCCTCTCCGTCGTTGTATGTAGGTAAAGTGGTAGGTAATGTATCTTGGTATAGCTTGTGTAATACAGGGAACCATTTCTAGCCTTCAATGATATTTCAGGTACTTCAAAATTTTCTTGAATGCGCGAGATTCAAAAATCTTAAAATGAAAATAAATTCCTTAAAATTCTCTTCTTATTACAGTAAACCTTCATTCCAGGTTCACGTCCCTCATTCACGATAAGATATTTTATATATTATGTTTCAAACTTCATTTACGTGTATCTTACTTTTAATCGAGTAGCTGTATATGTACCTACTTCATACATGATTAACTTTTTGTTAGGATTTGACAAAAGAAACATTCAAAGGTAATAATTTAATGAAGTACGACCCAATATCAGCTCGCTAGGACTTTCGACCCTCGATTAATTTAATTAATATACGGTAGATGTATCACATCCACCTTTCGCCAATTATATTTCGACCGTCGTTCGTCCCACGCATGTGGTGAACCTATTGACCTGTACTCAGAAGGTTTTCCGACTACCATTGAGAATTTTCTAACAGAATAAAATCAACAACAATGTACCAGACCCGTAAGTTGAACCGAGGAGGCCTGTACTGTAAGTAAATACACTCTCATGCCACGACTCGGACAATTGATTGCAGAACAACAACTTAAAGACTACGAAATTGTTTTCTTCGTAAAAGTATTTTTCAGGTGACCCGTCTGCTCGCTTGCCCTCTATATCATAAAGAAAATGCGTGGGGTGAGTCATAAGGCCCCGTAGAGGTACCACGTAATCCGAGGGTAGGTAACAGGGGCTCAGTTTAGTCGCGTCATTGATTCGCACCCCTGCGCGTAAACTACTTAGGGCTACCACTGACTACACCATACTATATTCATGATAGTTATGTTGGTAAAATTCATTTTAAGTCAAGTTATGTAAATAGTGGTCAGAACATGTTGAAACCCGTAAATATAATCGAGTATGATTTGGTACAAATGATGTTTCAGCTGGTAATAGGATACAAGGACCACACATACACATATATCTATGTAGTTATATCTGTGTTACTTCAACAATATTTTGATCAGTGTTTCAGAAAACGTGTGTCAGAAGTCACCTATATGTTACACAAGCAGTACGGTGTACTTAACTAGTAATTCTTTAATTAAATGTACTAGTCCACTTCCAATACACCTATTTTGTGGAGTAACCTATTGATTTTAAGAATATTTATTAGCACAAAATATATCATTGATATCTTAATGTTAAACGTGTTTCATCATGAAATTCTTATTAATAGAGATAGCAGTATTTTAGCCCCTATGTTTTAATCATTTAATTTTTATTGTTTTTTTACGCACTCACCAGCGGGAACTAATGGTAAGGTTACGTATTTAATTAGCTAGTGTAGCGCTAGTCGATAACGATATAATTGGCTATTATGTGCCGCGTGCGTTGTGCGGAAAGACAATGTGAACAAGAACGCCATTCTTGGTCAATGTTCATCCTTCATTCGAATTTAGAAGAAGATACACTCGAATACATTTGGATACATTACTGGATTCTTACCTGTACCTATAACGACCTAAAGAAAATTTGAATATCATGACCGTCGCTTACGTAAGTATTTTTTAACGGGCCTAATCCCTCCCAAACGCCCACCACTGTAACTCCTGTAGACCAGGATCAACAGCAGTAACCCTACGTGGGTCCCTACCCTACGAGTGTCATATCTCGGTGTACCGAGATATGACACTCGGGAAGTCTCAAGAAAAATAAAACTGTCGTGGAACCCGCAACGAAATAGAAGAAAATTGGAGGAGTTGGCAATAATAAATCCACTTCTCTCCTCAGCAGAGAGGGAGAAAAATTGAAGTAAACATAGGCATAAATCCTTTTAAACAGGGAAGCACTATGGACATTGATTTATGACATAATATGTATGACAGAATCGCCCAAACGTACCTCAACAAATCCCCCTAGATGACACAAGATCCTCATAGTATACCCGCACCAGACGTCACCTGTAAGCTATTCAGCATTATATTACGTTCATTTCATTGTACCAATGACTGCATTCCCATATAATATGCTGAGCAGACTGTTACGTAATTATTGCTTAAAGATAGCATTTTATATGTATGGTAACGCTCATTCTTTAAGTTATCTGATATCACTTAATATTTATAGATAAAGTTATCCCCGTGTAATAAAGGCGAGTTTCGGTTTTATCCAATTAGAAGGAATCTTGACGTGATACGCTGTGAAACACCTAATAGGCAAATATATGTTCGTAAATGTTTAAAGTTATTTATGACTTCAATGCTCAGGCTGCAATATTTTATTACTTCCAATATATCTACTTCTGTAAAGATATGAATATTTTTTACGTTTATATTATGATAAATAATATAAAGTCATTACGGCTATCTGATAGATACCACTTAGTTTTATACCTTGTCTACGCACATACTATAACATCAATTAGTGGGAACCCTCGCCTTGATAGGAATACCCCACGACATGATTTTTATTGAAATTTGTATATAAAATTGTGTAGTTTTTAGACAAGAAGCGTCCATAATGACTTAGGAATAAGGATAACATATATATAAAACTTTAAATCCTATGTTTGTAGTAATGTTAAATATGGTATATTAGCTATAGTTCTATAATGCTTAGGTATTTTAGTACATAGAGTTAATTTGTTAGAATTGGAATTGGGCCTACACACTACAGAACCACGAATGATTAATTTTACCTATACTATTATATTAAGCATATATCTCAATGAAAAAAAAATTATAACGTATAACTTTTCTCGATGACCATTCCATCCAATTCAATATTAATCAAATACGGTTGTAGCACCAGAGATTAGCGCGTTTAAACAAACAAAATTTTCTACGAAAACGTAATAGTGGTCACTGTACTAGCAGGGTTTTGTATATAATAAAGCACATAGACTTACGTAGTTCTCCTCGTCGCCGGCGGACGCGGCAATTTGCGACAATCCCCCTCTACAGTACAAATCCCTCCGCCCATCCTCTCACCCGTCTCGCAATTTTGTAATGTTTATACTGACACTACTGTATACTCCCTGTTCGTGTATATGTTATGAGTGCCCGGTATTCCTATATGTTACGTCGAGAGATAGTACATTTGAGTTAGATCATTGTAGTGATGCGAAACGTCAATAAGTACATTTTTGAACAAAGTAATCCCGATTACCATTACACCTGATTAATTTTCAAATAATTCCACAATTATTTGTGGATATTACAATATTATGTCACTATGGTGTTAAAAGACAAGAAGGTGGTAAGCCATCACCCAATATTGTCACTAGACGCGTCTCTATATTGCGTATATGCACGTTGCTCAGTTAATTCGCTTTTTGAAGAAACTCATATTGTCTCATGTATTGTTGCTTGGATCAGTCCATCGTATCACTGTATTGAGTTATTTGCCTGATATCAGTAACCGTCTTTATAATTGTATTACTACCTCAGATTAGTCATAAGCTCTATAGAAATAGGCTATTAAAAGGTTAAAAGAACTTTGATTCGGCACAGCTGTCGTCGTCTTAGTGACGTTGCATTTTTTTTAATTTACCGTTGGTCTAAAAGTAAGCAGTGCCTTAATCAGTTGTACAAACAGACTGAGAACTACTAAGTTGCATGTGCTTTAAACACCTTGTGTTTTGCTCACTTGATGTTAAATCTTTTGTCCCCGTTCCTCTTAATCGAAGTTGTAGAGAATAGAAGATGATGAAATTTTGTTTGTTGTTTAAAGTTAAAAAAATGTTTTATATTGAGAACGGTACCTATTCAGTACCGTTTTTTTTCTTTTTGGTAATTTAGGTTCATTTAAACACATTCGCAACAGTAAAGCTAACTACACTGCCTTTGTATGAACTTATCATATTTATCTTGAATTAATCACATAAAATCTATAAACACGTCTAATAAATTAATCCTCTTTTACAGGTGAAGAAAATGGCTGACCGAGTAAGTAAATGTCGTGAAGAAGTAAAGAAGAGCAGAGACAGGTATCAAGTGGCATTATCCGAGATAACAGCATACAATCCTCGCTATATAGAAGACATGACGGGGGTATTCGAGCGCTGCCAGGAGATGGAAGCTCAGCGACTTAAGTTCTTCAAGGAAGTACTCTTCAGCTTCCATAAGTGCTTAAATATTAGTCAGGAACCAACGTAAGTACCTGTGCTAGTGGAACAGATTACTCGAAATCGTCAATCTCTGAAGTGTTCACTTACATGACTGACCCAAGGAAAAGAAATTCTCTACAATCTAGAGACGTTGTATTAAAATGTTATATGTTATCATTTTACTTTGTAAATAAAAATATATTTTTAATCAATCAATCACCATTTACATTGCTTCTAAAGTAATCGCAATCGCAATAATGCCACTATCCCAAATTTACAGTTGAGAACTGACGCATTAAGTTAAAAACTTTTTTTAAGTTTGAGTTGGCAGATGAGCAGAAAAAACGATTTATTGATAATCTTCCAGTTTATAAATTCGATTTTGTTCATGATTGTATCAATTGTTGTTATCCCGCGACACATAGGATACAATCCTAGTGCGGGAGTTGTAAAAAAAATATTTATTTATTTCATAAGCATAAGAGATAACATAATAATAGTTATACTTTATATAATACTATATATACTATATAATATAATAATAGATAAACAAAATATAAATAATTCTGTTTATTTCTTGTTCCTTCTCTTATAGCTTCTCACTATTAAAACTAGGCTAGCTCAAGTTAAGCTAAAGTTTTATTTGTTTCACATTATTTCACTCCTAAAATGCAATTGCAAATTAATAAATAAATAAAAGTCTATTTATTTAGGATAAAAATTATTCGACCTTTTGGTAATAAAAAATAACCTAATTCTGTTTAAAAATATATTCTTATATAAACATTTCAGTTTACCCCAAATATACGAAGAATTCCACCATACGATAAACAACTCTGACCATCAAAAGGACCTGAAATGGTGGGCGAACAATCACGGCATCAACATGGCTATGGCGTGGCCACAATTCGAGGTAACGCACCATACATTGGTAGCTATACACCCCGCCTGCAGTATTACTCCTCACTCGTCCCACTGAGCAAGCAATCTAAACTACTCTACAGATCTTTGTGCATTTTAACAACTGTACGCTTTAGGCAGGACTAGTGTCTAGTTGCATTCAGTACTTAGGACCGTATGTATTTTTATACAGATTTTGTTAAACCATGAGTATAATAGAATAGTGTATAAATCTCTTTTCTCTTTAAAGTTACCGGAATGGACAAAATCATTGCTTGGTATGTTACCTGCTTTTTCCTAGAGAGTAGCTGTCGTATTGAGTTCATTAAATGTCGAAGTTTCGAAGTCACTCTATCTCTTGATGTTTTGTTCAAAAGCGTTTTAAGACGTCGAAAATCGTCGAAAACAACCAACAAGTAGAAGGTCAAATTTATTCATTTAAATTCCATTAAATCTGGAAACTAAACGATGGTTTAATAATTATCTGTGTATTAGTCATGTACGATAGTATTACTAAAGGCATTAGTTATTTAGTATGAAAAAGTGAGCATGTCTTAATAGTTGTGTATTCAACATTTTCCTTTTACAAATGTTTATTGGAACTATTATGCTATTTAGTTTCTAATTCCTTTTTGAATCCTTAAATTAGGTTATGCCTGAGAAAGTACATTGTTTTTGTACAAATTACTGAAAACTATCCAGAACACCCATATTTTATTTTTTTCAATCTATCGCCTCTACTTTGAATCAATCGACTATACATTGAATACCTTAAATTAGGAGCCTATTAGGAGTAACAAAACTTTAAAATAAACCTTCATACAGATCAAACAAGAGATTAAAAATTAAAATAGTAAGGTTTGTTACATTTTGAAAGAGCAAGCAAGTAAATAATTAAAAAAATAAATGGAAGTATATAATTACTTTTTATTTAAAGAAATCGAGTATTTAAGTCATTATCCTATAAGGATTGTGTGTGATTTGTTTGTGATAAATTATTAATTAAAAAAAAAAGTTTCCACCATCACTCCCATTTCAAATATTGAGCAATTAATTTGAATATTTCATTCTTAATCGTGTGTGACCGCATTGCTCTTTGTAATATAGACCTTCAGAGCCCCGGTTATCACAAGGTAACTAATACCTCAACAAACGTTACATTTGATCAAGCCGTTTGATAGTTACGAGTCGACAATCATCAGTTACCTTGTATAACAGAAACATTGCAAAAATATCTACGGATATCCTTTCAAAGTGCAATGTGCATAAAAATGCGTCGACCTCAGACATTAAATATTTTTATTGCTACGAATCAAGTTCGACAAAGGTGCTTTAGTTTAAATTTTATAACTGTTGCATTCATTGTCTAACACATACAGACCGGCCCGATTTAGTAATCTGGTTACCATAGAACAGGCTCTGCTTAGTTTTATGTGTATTATTATTATTATTTATAAATAAATCAAGTAAATCAGTTATTTTCCATACACTTAGTAAAATCCTTACGTATATAAACCATGTTAATAAAAATAAAAAGACACAAATTATAATTTTTAGATATAAAAAAATAAATAAGCACTCTACAAAATACACAATTCCTAAGGTTTTCCAACTGTTGAACTAAATGTAACGTTAATACAAGGAGGATGACCCCTCAACGGATCCAATACGTAACAAATACTTGGTGGAAGCAAGCGAACTGGTCGCCAGAGTGATAGCGACGGCCCGGCTACCGCTACGGCGACCGGCGACCATACCCTGGTCCGAGACAACCGCGACCTGGTCGCAGTCATGGTCGCAGGCGATTCACCGTTTGAGGCTCGCCCTACCAGCCATGTGCTTCGGTGTGGATGAGCGAGGATCGTGCCGCGTCGCCCCTTCAGTCTCCAGTAGCAACTACTGTGGGGGCAGCAAGTTTTACAGCAACCCACTGATGGTACGACCACGGTGTAGGTTCGGTGACGTTTCGAGCACAATCGTGAGACGTGTGACCAATAACGATACTTAGTTCAATAAATGTCCTGAATCGGTTTGCTTTGGTTGGTCATACTTCGTGGGGAACGGGGATATTGAAGCACGGCTTTTTTGTTTGGCGATAAACAGTTGATTTTGTGGCAGCGAATAATGAAAATTATACTTATTTCGTGTAGACTTGTTATTTAAATTATATTTTAATTGATCAGAAACAACAAAATAGTTGAACGCGAAATTCTTTTATGTAATATTGTATTGCATTATCAGTTTAAAAACTAAAATCCACTTAATTAAATAACTTTTAGTTAACTGATGCAATATTTATATGCACAAACTATTAGTTATAAATTTATCATTACAGTGAAATAAATCGTTAGTAAATAAATCGAAACATAAATATAAGAAAATAAAAATTATATTTGCGTGTAGATTTCATGACGACTAATGTTAGTATTACCTATAAAACATTAAATTTAATAAATGTAATTATCCTCCACAAAGGCACTGTAAATCGCCTCTCATAAAACTAGCACTACATCAAGATTTGTCACCAAACAATCTGCAACAAATTGCACAAGGGGTTTTGATGGTGTCACACGAAAATACACCGTGATGGTTGGTGTTACAAAACAGTTTTGTTAATAGATGATCACTGCACCATTCATGGAGTATTCACTTCGGTCGGTAAACCACTTGCCGCTGTTGTTCGGCGACCGACCACAGAAAATCACTACAAAAAAAATTGAGAAATTATCTGGAAAAACGAAGAAACGTTGCAACACTCACGAGTTTGCTTTAAAATTGTTTTGTTCAAAACTCCAAATAAGTTGCACTCATATTCACACTCATCCACACTGAAGCAACGGTATGGTAGCAATGAATTATGAATACATCTAAATTAGAAAAGCACGCAATTTCACCGGTAAATATTAATGATGGCGTTTAAAATATATATAAATTCAGCTGAAATACGGTTTTACAATAATGTTAACGTTAAATTTGAACATAGTAGAAAAATTGGATCTCATTAAAAAATAAAATATATTGCAAAACTTAAAATATTTAGGGTGAGAATCGTACAAATTTTCGACTCCGATTAAGCCGCTATCCCATTTATTGTAGTTTTAAATAATAGCATGTTATTTTTCTATTCCTTGCCCTTTCCAACTAGAACTGCAGTAAGCTTTACCTTCTAACGTACACCGGCTTTCTATGGACGTGTTATTTGTTTATCTAATTGTTTTTTATTACTTTTTATTATGAGTTTGCATTGCACAAGGAGACGCTGGGAATAATTATTTGGTTTATGAATATTTATTATTTAATTAAACGTGTGAAATTCCCGCCCGATGGATAAATAAACTTGCTACCAATTATTCCCAACGTATCATTGCGCTCGCCATGCCCGCTTGTGACCGGTGTGTCGGTGAATCAGGAGTACACCGAGGAGTTCCGGGACATCGCGAAGGGCAAGTCCAAGGAGAGCCTGCCCACGGGGCCCATCACGTTGCTCAACCAGCGGCCAGTCAGCGAGGATGTACGTTACACCATCATTTTGTTACAGACGTCGTTTTATGGACAACAGTGATTGACTACGGATTTACTTCGAACTTTATGCGAGAATTACTTTATTCGAAGACGGTTAGAATAATATATAGCGAGTAAACAAAATCTCAGATATTTCACCTGAAGTTGAGAAGTACCTAATATAAATATATGAAAATATACCTGATGAAGATAATCAGAAAATATTCGAACCTTCCAATGTTATACGTGTATATTTATAGTTATATATATATATATACATATTTTTTAGGATCCTCGAAGCTTTTAACTACCAATTTCCAAAAAGCTTATTATTGAAAAATACAAAACGGGTTTTGGTTCAAGGATTTACACTATAATATGGCCTGGAACATGAACATAAATCAAGATGAAATGTCTATAGAGGAGATTATTTTATATTTAAAGTTATTCGTCATACAATAAAATAAATATAACTGCGAATATATATCTTTCTCTTATACTATAGTTACTAGAAATGTAAGAATTATACTTTAGTAAAAGTAAAAAAAAAACATTTATCAGTATTTTCTAGTTTTGTTATATGAGTAATTTTACGAAGAGGTATAGTAAACTGCCACCTGTCACTAGTAGCTTGTTGAAGTTAGCACAAAATAGTTTTCTAAAAAATAAATATTTTCAGTCGTTACATTTACTAAATAAAAATGACTTTTTACATTATACTGACTCATGTGTCCATTTCCATACAATACAACCAGTATGTCTGGGGTAAAGGATTACTTTTGATAATGAAAAGGTTTTTACCGTTTTTCATTGTAGACCAATACGTTGTTCGTCCTATAACACCATTAGTATAACAATACTTTCAAATCACACGATATTTTATTTATTTAACAATAACATTGCAGTAACATTTGATAATTATGATTGAACTAAACATATTGAAGTGTCCAGGTAGTTCATTTATGGCTAAAACAATTTAATAAATTAAATTTTTAAAAAATCACAGCCTAGTATTTCGAAGTCGACGTCATGTCCGTATTCACCATCGCTGTTGTGCGTAAGATGACGTCGCACCACGCGCCTCGCCGCGCCACCATCCATGTGCGAACATGAACATATCCAGCCATGAACATGTTCATCGCAGTATATGTTCTATGTAGGATTCAAATGAGAATGAAGAGATACGCTGGGTTGGACTCTCGTAAAGGCTTATTATTTAATTTGAGCATGATTCGGGTCTAAAAGTAGTTTTGAGTTGAAAGGCATGAGGACATTCTCATTTAAATCTATTTTAGTTATAAGAGCTTTATTTTTATGTTTTCTTTATGTTATTTTTTGATATCTATGTTGCATGATGGATGTCGCTTCGATCTACAGTTTATGCATATTGGCATGCATTAACAATTTAACACACGATCAATGATTATAGTAAAATTTATTAAAGTATTTTGAACAATATCTAAGTATAGTATAATTATTAAAATATTGATAAAATAATCTTTAAATATTATTGTATTTATTATATATAAATAACTAAATGAGTGGAATGACCAATGTAAAACAATAATATCATTATTTTCCTAAATTATATTTATTTAATTTTTATAATTTTATTTTGCACCTATTAGTCCTTCCACTCACATTTTATAGAAATATACCAAGATTGTAATATCTGCATATTTTAGGAACTGCCCCCAATCAACTCCAATAACAAAATTACCAAGACAACCAACCACACGGACGCAGCGCCTCCGCCAACAACAGTCGCCGTGAACACTACCGCTAACAACACTGCCAACAACACCATTGATAAGAAGAGTATCAGCGCACCTATTGCAGTTACGTAAGTATTCAAATTATTTTGGACTCTTTAATTTTTTTTATAGATTTGTTTCTGATTTTTAAAGATGAACCTAATAAAATAGTTTACGACTTATAGGTAGGTAAATACGAAGGGTAGGGTTATACAAAAGCGGCGCCATAGCATAGCACCTATAGCCTATAGCAGTAAACCAATTATTATGCATAAAAAAATAGGCTTTGTGTTAAATAATTTTAAATTTCTTTTTTGTCCTCCCATAGCCTAAATCAATATGATCCTCCTTGCTCTGCTTTCCTAGTGATATCCTTGTATATGCCACTCATTAATTGTATTTAATCTGTAATTAACCGACAAATCCTTAACCCTCATATCCATTAAGCGCCACTTTCATCTAGCATTGAACATCTGGAGATATTCGGGTGTACGGCGGATTGCTATCCCCCCAGAGTGGCGGCGTCGTTCAGCGAGCGTCTGGTGCGCCTGGCGATGAGACCCGATGTCTCCAACAGTTCCCGATTCACCATCACTGATATGACCGATCAAATGATCGAGGAGTTAGTTTGTCGATTTTATCACAAATTATGTAAACGATGTAGTATTTGTGAACCTTATGAGGAAAGTTGAAATACAATGTAAAAAATCCATTCATTTGAGTTTAGATCACATTATCGCTACGTCAACGAATCCAACTCACAACTTATTCAAATCTCATTTGGTAATGCAAATAGAAATACCTAAATGATGATAAATGGGCACTTCTAAGATCCTAAAAAAGCTGAGAATATATTATGAATACAAACTATATTTGAAAAAAATACCGTTCCGTTTTATGTTTGATATTTTTTATGATTTATGGTCTGGCATTTTCAGACTAATGACACATATAGCCGAATTCAAAGAAAAACTATATTAACTTACGTACTGAAATCGCATCTATCGTCTTATAAAAATCATCATAAAGCATTTGGATTGTAAAACAAACGTTTACAAAATCAAATGTTTTCTTTAATTAATTATGTATAACATCACGCTACGATTAATAACAGTAGAAACAAACTCACATCAGTAGAATTTTTATGACATAAGTTTAAAATTATCATTGTTGTTATTTGGCAATTTTTCAGTTAAATCAACAAAGACCATTGTTAAGATGTATGTTTAGTAATTTTAATTTTATTGTTCCCGACAGCAACGGCACAGTCGCAGCCCCTAAATCAAATAAAACATCGCCAGCGAAAGACAGCACCAAGGGTCAAGACAATCCCTTCGAAGAGGACGAGTGGGACGAAGAGTCGGGCGGAGCTTTGACCGATACGGGCGAGCCCGGGGTGCCTGTGCGAGCTCTGTACGACTACACCGGTGCAGAGAGCGACGAACTCAGCTTTAGACAAGGTGACCCTAGACATTTGCAATTTACTTATTAAGTTTAACAAGTTCTGACTTTTGTTTTCTTTTAAAAGTTCATCGTAAAGGAACCATTAAAAGAAAACAAGTCTGCGAAACTATAAGACTAAAATGTCACAAAAAGAAATACAAAATACAGAAAGTTCTTCACTTATGGACCTATAAGAAGTTTCTGTTGGATTTGCTCCACACGAACTCAAATCGTATTGTCTGTTTTTTTTTTGTTTTTTCGAAATCTGATTTATGATCTCACACGATTTTTCACCCTGAATTCAGTTTAACTCAAATGACATTCTAATTCCAGGTGATGAATTCGAAAAATTAGAAGACGAAGATGAACAGGGTTGGTGCAAGGGACGGAAGGACGGCAGAGTGGGACTCTATCCAGCCAACTATGTTGAACCTGTGGGCCATTAGCCGTACGCTGGCACTCCTAACAAACACCAGCGTTTTACCGTCAGTCATCAATCCTGACATTGTAAAGTTAGAATGAAGTAGAGAACGACTTAGAATTGATTGAACAAACGCTAACTTGTATAATAGTCTTTAAATTGAACCACTAGATGGCGACGTTATTTTCTTGTGGTGACATCTGAAACGATGTCTCCAACAACAAAAATAAATGATATATAACGTTAACGACTCGAGTATCGAAGAAATTTATTGAATAAATAAAGATGGTACTACGTATGTATATAATATAAAATTGAATTTCTGTAATAGTAGAAATAGTGATGTCTAGCTGGCATATCCGTACATACAATGTATGTGTCGCTCACGTTTTGAACATACTCCATCTTATTGACATCCATTAGCTTTGTTAGAATTGCACCTTATAGAAGATAGTCTTACGTTTTTTGTGTGAACATCATGGTACGTACATACAGTTAGTGTTGTTCGTTCATATCTATGTCCAACGTTAGATCAGTACTGTATTACGCTACGATACCGTATTGTGCACGTGGCAGGTTATAAAATTAATTTGTTTTATTTTTGCGAGTCACGATGTTAGTCATTATAATAGTAACAGGTCTTAAGTACATTCAATTATATACACGTGTTAATCAATTACGATAGCTATAAATATTGATTTCACGCAATAAAGGGTAGCCGTCAACTTAATACGTCTATTACATCATCCACTCGACATCGAACCCCGATCCTTGCGAAACAAAACACTTTTTGATGTATTTAACGACGCTTTTTTAAATAGAACTTTTGGACCTACATTTTTGTACATTTCTATGACAAAAATTCCTTTTAAAATTTTCCTAAGTGTTAAGTTAAAAGTAAGACGGTTTTGAATATTTTTGGATGGAACTCTTTGTAGGTACAATATGGAAACCAAAAATTGTTTACTTGTATATTGTAGTAACACTATATGTCCGTTGTCACAGAAATTGCAGCTGTAGAAGTGACGTTGCTCTATGGCGCAGAACACCGGATGACGTCACGCACGTCACCCGCTCAGGGTTGTACCGACTACTAAACTAGTAATGATTATACTAGTGCTTTCGGTGTAGTAAAGAACAAAGTTTTGTCTGTGGGTATAGTATTTATCACAGTTTGAGCTATTATTAATTAGTAAAACTTGGTCGGTAGGTACACCTCTGAATATCGTTGAGTAATATAGCTAAGCCAAAAAGTGTACGCCAATTTAAATAATTAGGTAACAAGTGATGCGCTTAGGCGGCAATGGGATTTATATTTTTGTGATATACTGGATGGTGACACTGCACAGTAGTTGTGTTTATGTACATACACGAGTATTACGTATTACGTCGCGCTTATAGAATATTTATTTCCCATTGTATATACTGTAAAATGCATTAATGTGTATGTAAGTTGTGCGGGACGCGTTGGACTGAGCGAAGGCCTAATATTGCTTAACGGCCTGTTTTGTAACTCCTATTTACAGCGAACACGCGGCCCGCGCTTAGTATAATATAACAATAACAGTTAATAATATATTACGAGCAATGTTTAACCTTTTCATTTTCCCTTTTATACCTCGTTTTAGATATTGTTGTATTGTGTAATTATTGGTGAGAGACGAGTCGCGCCTCGTCTCGGTTCGACGTGAGCTATCGCTCTTTAGTCCATAACTGTTTTGTTTTTCCTTGTTATAGGTTCAGCGACCATTTGTGAGAAATTCTTTGTATTATATAATTATCAAAGAGGGTGGTTTTGGACCACATATGTTAATATATTATGAATATTGGTAAAATAAAATTGTTACATATGGTATTTTGTGTTTTATTTAAATTTATGTTTTGTTTCTGTGTTTATTGTTATTCTACTTTTTTAAATTAAAAATGAGATAAAGGAAATAAAAAATATCTCAGTTTTTTATCAGCCTGCATAGACACTAGTGCCTAAGCTGTTGGAGGATGCGCATGAATATCGTATTGTTCGTACTATTGAAACAGAAACTACAACAGTTATTTTATTAGAAAGCGGTTACAAAATACACAAAGTTTTGTACACTTCGTACCTTACAAGAGAATTACAAAAATCGGTGCTATCGAACGAAACTTCGCTTAAACATTTAGATATTCAGTATTTGTGCACCCAGCCTTAATAGTTTATTACTTCATTAGTCCTGCCCAACACTAACACCATAATCAAAACCAATTTAATTTCTATTTAAATAGTTATTACAAATCTTCTGCAAAATAACATTCCATAAAGGCAAGCTTGAAACACCAGTTCATAGGAATCTACTTAAAATAATTTATTAGTTGAAGATATACTTGCCAAATAATTTAGAGCCAAATACGTGTTTTTAAGTTTTTTTATCATGGTCCACAAATTAATTGTGACAACATAATAATATAAACATTTTATGTGCCCCCCCAGAGTAGTGAACACATCATGCTTAAGTGACGGAATACAATATTATTTAAATGCGAATAAAAAAAAATACTGACAATATGCTAACAAACATGGAAAAATAAAATGGTTTGAAACAAAGAAATTCATTGCTAGTTTTAGTCGTTTTTCGCTGAGGATATTAGCTTTGCCATTCTTGATTTAGCTGAGGTCAAAGAACCTGTAAATGTATCGAACTGAGATCTGATGCCATTATAACTTTTAAACATGTGATATGCAGCTGCATGCTGTCCAATATTTTTACTGATATCGGGGTAAGATAAATGATTTCCTATTGTGAAGACGACTGCCGGTTTGTGGAACTTGAATTTTGATGGTGGCTAAGGAACTCAGGACAATCTACCAATCCATTACATGATTTTCTTCGTGCACTTAGGGATTTTATTTTATAAAAGTTGAGTCTAGATTCGTAAGATTTCAGGTTCTTGCATTTATTATCGATGAATGACAGTTGATACAAAACTCTTTTCAGAATACATAATTCTATTCGAGTGCACACGGTTACCAGGATGCCACACCGGACTGCAATATTCGAGAATACTACGGATTATGCAATTATAAAAAAATTACGTTAACGTTTTTAAAAGATTTTATTTGCCGTGGTAAAAAACCTGACATCTTAGAAGCTTTTTCACTATCTCGTCTATATGAGTTCTAAAACTCAGTGAGCTATCTAAAGTAACACCTAAATCTCGCATATTGGTGACATCAATCAAAGTTTTATTGTTTATAGAATATGCGGCGTTCCTTTGCATTCGCTTCCGAGAAAATTTCATGTTAAAACATTTTTCCTCGTTTAGAATCATCCCATTACCTTCACACCACTTACTCATTTTATTTATCACATCAACAGCCTATACTAGTCCACTGCTGGACATAGGCCTCTCCTTAGAAAGGAGGTTTTGGCCTACTATACCACGCTGGCCAGACGGGTTGGTATAGGGTTTGTTTCAAGTTTTCCTTCTCTTTGCAGTGCTGTTGTCCTGCTTAGTTTGCTCCCTTAGTCGGCTCTTACGACACCCACGGGATGAATTGGGGTGGTGACAATTTGTATTCTTAATCCGTCACCACACGTCACCACACGGACTTTTTATTTATATCCAAATTTTATTTATATCTTTCTGTAACTCGTCAATATCACCATCATTATGAATAACTTTATAAATTTTAAATCATCATTTAAATGTATGCTACATTTTGAAATTGCACCTAATAGAATTCGCTAAATCATTTATAAAAATTAAAAATAACAGCGGACCCATATGCGATCCTGGGGTACACCTGAAGGGACAGCGTTTGTTTGAGAAGTGTAACCGTTTATTATAACCAATTTTGATCTATTTTTAAAGTAGGATTTACACCAGCGCAACAACGATCCATGCACCCATGCTCGAAATCTTGTCTAAAAAATTTTGATTTATGAGATCAAACGCTTTGCTGAAATCTGTGTAAATTGAGTGTATTTCATTTCCATTGTCTAATACTCGTGCAATATCATCGGTAAAACTAATTAGATTATTGCATGCAGACTTCGTGAGAAACCGTACTGTTCTGGATGTAGGTATTCTTTGACGTGCCAGTAAATCTTTTTTTGGATGATTGACTCGAATACCTTCCCCATAGCAGGAAGTATAGATACCGGTCTATAGTTTGAGGCAACAGATGCATCGTCTGTTTTATGTATCGGAGTCGTCGAGTGTCGAGCACATTTCCATTTTTCGGGTAATACACCCGTTCTTAGGGATTTGTTAAATATTGATGTTAAGTTTGTTGCCAGATTGTCAGCACACTCTCTTAAGAAAATTGCTGGAGAGCAATTCAGTTATCTGGTTGCCACATGAAGCGCAAAGTATTTAGAACAAATTTATCAGGTTCCTGTACTTAAAGTGATGTGGGGTATACGAAGGATATCCATTACTCTATCCTACTTTATTTGTTCTAGGTATGGTGGGTTACAGTAGGCTTGAGGTGAGACGAGAAGTGACTTTAGCCACGATGTATTAATAGTCCTAAGGTGGGTTATAAATAGTCTATAGTCAGGCTGTTCTGCAGGCAGCCTGTCTGTATGTCCCGGACGAGTACATAAAACGGCGTAGGCGGTGGCCGCTATTTGAGGTACCGTGTGTGCATGTAGGTACTAATCTTCTACAACTTGCACCGTGGACGCGACGTTGCGTGCACTCATTGGTTGTCTCAAAAGGTAGATTTCATTTCGTGTTGTGTGAGTGAAATTACACAGGCCATGTTTTGTCAATTGTGTTTATGTAATTGTGTTGTTGTTGTAAGTTGGTGTAAACTGCTGTGGTAAACAATATCTTACTTCCATTGTATTAGTTTAGCCTGTAGGGATTTTTGTAAGTAATGCCTCAATAAATAAATAAAATACTGTCTTAGAATTACAGATTTTTGAGAGTAAAATTTTCATAGGCACCGTCTTATAAGGTGGTGGTAAACTGCGTAAATGTCTGCACTATGACTAATTTTATAGAAACTGAATAAAGGTGAATAGAATCAAATGTTGATCTACCCTCATCATCCGTAATGACGTTGAGGGCCGTTATCACATAAAACCTACAGCATTGTAGGAAAATGCGTACCACTTTACTGACCAAACAATTACTTCAAACGCCCAATACGTCACTATAAATTTTATCTGTAATATTTTGACGCGACAAGAGTACACGATTTATACAGGACAGACAGACATTTTATACAGGTTTAATATGTTGTTTAGATTCAAATATTATCAGACAGCTCTTCAGTTGTGTATGAAACTTTTACCTGGGATAAAAATAATAGTAAAAAAGCCCCATTGAATACCAAAGCGAGGTTCAAGAAAATTCTTGGTCAGGACCTACTTGTCGAAGTTCAGAACTCAACTCCGTAGCTCAGTATATTTCTCCTCGCTTCAAATAAATAGTATAAAATATTGCGAATGGTTTTGTAGTGAAAATTTAATTGCGTTTAATTAAATTTAATTGTAGGGAAAATTTCATTTTTATCTTGGTCAAGAAATAAAATCCTGGGAATTTTGTGTAGACAATCTACACATCTAATATAAGTAATTAATAATCTACAAACATTTCCAGGATTTTTCAGAATGTTTAGATTTTAGAAGAAAAAAAATGCCAGAAATTGTTCGCTGACAGTCAATTCCATCTCCTTTCCTGTTAGTCAATATTTAAGAAGTGGCATACAAATAACAAAACGCTATACCAACCCGTCTGGCCAGCGTGGTATAGTTTGTCAAAACCTCCTTTCTAAGGAGGCCTATGTCCAGCAGTGGACTATTAAAGGCTGTTGATGTGATGTGATACAAATAAAAGCACTAAGTACAATTTTAAAAATCTCTTTATTTGATGGAACGCAAGTGCACTGTGACAGGGTGTCCGCAGCCTACTGCCGTACATTTAGAACAAACTTAACATAACACAGAAACTTCAACAGCTAAAGATTTATCCCCACTAATACAACAATATATTAAATAATAATTGTGATTCTCTGTGACGATATAATAGCAATTATTATTAAGTCATTGTTATAATAATTACTTAGTCGATAGTAAAGCGTAGACAAGAGAAATTACACATCATACATACAACAGCATGTACGGACAACGTTGAACGTACAGCAATAGGCTATAATCACATTTTGAGGTTACATCACGGTCTAAGCCAAGCTAAACACTACATAGGTATTGTATTTGGAAAACTGCTTTGAGGCGGTTCTTCGTCATTTTAAATGTCCAACGATGAATCACGTCAAAGTGTCACCTCAGACTTCGCGATATACGAAGCATACACTCATTGCAAAATATAAGGCGAAATATTATATCGCATCGTAAACAGCGTAGCGGGCGACATCTGGCGACAGCGCGACACCAACATGAGCAACGTTATGTGCACTTTGTGCATATTTGGCACGAGTCATCTGCGCGACTTTTGCCCGTGGCGAGTAGGACACGCTGTAGCGGTACATAACTAAAGTTATTTTTTAAACCAACAAAATAATATATTGTGTTCACTTTGACACTTCGTCATGAACCAAACAATCTCAAATATTACCTTACATTTACCACGTATCCGTGTTGATAAATCCACCTCTCTTTGTTTTTAAAATTGGTCAAGAAAAATTATAAAAATTCCATTTGATAATAAGGAACAGAATTGGTATTAATAATAGTGTTAACTAAATCTTTAAAGTGCATTATTCACCACTGCTACCGATGGATTCGGTTGCATGGTTTCCCTTAAAGTTGACAGGACAAGTGTTTAAATCACTAGCTTATGTTGTACCACTACAAGCGAACTCGGGCGAGAACCGCGCGCACACAATCATAACCCGCCTGGATAAATGCATTACAGAACAACATATAACGTTTATATTTACAGGAGTTACACATATATGTACATAAATAAAGGGGCCGCCCCCACCCTGATATGTGAACATAATCATGTACTTATTTACAAATCATACAGAAATGAGTATGTAACAATAATGTTGCTCGATTTAAATGAGATTCGCAAACAAATAAATTATACTTTTTATACATTTAGTAGAACTGGTACAGCGTTCTCATGTCTATTTTATGGTAGGTAAGGAATACAGTATTTATATAAATATAGTCACGAGTGGAGCTCGCTATGATTGGTATAATGCTAATAACTATATACGAATTGTCATATAGTCGCTTTTGTGTCAATACTTCTATAACATTTAATATAAATATAGGTGACGTGCAATCGTGGCGTAAACGCACACGTTACACGCGCGCAACTTCAAAGTATGCCATTCCAAGTCTTACATCCGCATAGAAATCAATACAATGACATCATAAGCCTGTCAGATAACCATAAAAACAAAGTTAGAGAGATACAAAATCACAAGTTTAATCTTTATATTATGTTATCGACTATTCAGGGCGATTATCCTCCACATATTGTTTAGTTTGAGGTATATCACATCTCAATAATCTCTATCAGCATACGACGTACTCAAATTATTATAAAACACAATTTTAACATTGTTTTTGAATGATGACTTCGGGTCTTTTTTACCGTTCCATTTTGTGAAGCTATACCATTACATCTACAGCTAAAATCATAAATAACACGAACGAACCGAGGAGTTTAAACAACAGTAACACAACATATTTACAACTTCATATACGTACACACTAAATAATATAAATATCATCGCTCCCTGCTGATAACTCACTGACGTCTTGTGAGATAAATTATGTAAGCATCTATTGTATTGGCAGTGCCTTTTATAGATAAATGTAAATTGTGGCGAAGAGTTAACGATGCGATTCCAACATTATATTTCATTTACAAGACAATCATTATGATCGTTTCACGAATAATTTCCAAATGTTCAATACGCAACATATTAGTTGCTTATTTTTAACTGTGAGTTTGTTATATTTTAGAACAAGTCTTAGCAATATTGCTTTTTAAAGTAAACTCAAAGAGGAAAGGAACTTCCCTTCCAAATAAAAGCCAGTAATAATACAATTATTTATTATTAAGTTTTTTCTGGGGCTACTTTAATTTCTTAAAACCGCCGTGTAGTACGCGGAAAAGGCCGTAACCGTCATATTCTGATATTCATTGTCCCGAATTCAATTGAAGACACAAATTGTGTGTCTAACATAGAAGAATTATACAAAAATTCATACTAATCAAGTAATAGAGGGGGATTTTAAAAGTACATTTATTAAGGAAAACTGGTCGAGATTCTCGTAAAGTAACGGCTATGTTGAAGTGACATACAATTCGTCAGCTAAACGTTAATATATAGAACAAAACAACAATTAGAGATATTTTTTAGGAAAAAAAGAAAGACGATACATTACATATTTATCTCATCAAAACTTTTTATCCATCGAGATTATAGCATACGTTGCATCGAAGCTTGTCACGCGAGTACAAAGATATCCATATTTTTTACAAGCTTGAATCAGCGTCCCTATAACTAGTTATAATAAATATAATATTCTGTCATTTAGCTTTGCATATTCAATACATCGTAGTTAAATCGTTCGTCGACAGTGGCTCCAACGGCCAAAACAGACAGTACGTAAACGCATTACTATAACTATACGTTACTGTACTGTGTATGGAAGATATTTTTGAAACTATCCCTAAAATGAAATGTAATATATAAATTATCCAAAGTATTAACGGAATGATATATCTCAGAACTAATCACATTACTATAGTAAAATTATTTATATCGATTATAAATCAAAGAAGCGGGATAATAATATATCTCTATCTCCTATTTATGTGTGTGTTATGGCTGTCAAATGTTAGCGGCGGGATGAGAATTAATACATAATATATACAAATAGTCGATAATGTTAAAATTTGTTGTAACAATAAAATGATAAAAATCATCTTTGTTATAAAAAACATAACAATAATATACAATATTAAATTTAAATTAAAGAATTCCACCTCCTCCCTTTTCAACTTCTGTTTTATCGATAACAAACTGGTGCCCAACCGTATAGGTACAACACTGATGAGCGGAGCATCCGTCCCTATGACCGTGTGATTTATGTCCGAGTCTGCAGTGAGTAAATAATTTTACTATAGAGCTGAGCTATTAACATCGTATAGTTAAGGAATTTGCAAATCTCGACGTTTGGTCCTAATTCTGTTGTTCGAAAACTCTCTAAACTAAACTAAAATAACTAAAAAATATTTTTGTCCTGTGAAGTACTACGTTTTTAGAATAAGAAACGTTGTTTGACAGGACTTAACTAATTTTTATTGATTTTTAGTTTAGTTTAGAGAGTTTTCGAACAACAGAATTAGCACCAATATCTGACTAATTAAATAAAAACCTTAGAGCGTCCTCTCAAGGGTTTATTCAAAAATAAGTCAATAGAGAGTTTTGCCATATGCTGCATTTCCGTCAAACTAGCTCATACGATAAAGAATTTCCGAGTAACATTTAGCGGCAGTTAGCAACAGACCCGTTGTGAATCAAGACATCTCTTTATCAGCAATAAATAATATATTGTTAAATTTCTATGAGTCAACCAACTCTGTACCTCACAGTCGGGTCAGATACTTTTATTTTTCAATGTAGTATGTAACGTCTATCAATGATAAATCGCGATATAATTTATAATAAAAATATTTTATAACAATGTGTGAGGGGGTTAAGGATTGTAAAATAGTAAATCCTTGCCTCCCCACCTTCTTATACGTAATGTCGTTTACAGAAATAATGTTCATGTTCCAACAATGTTCATACAATATGTAAGGATGCACAATATTGGCGATATGTTGGACGTTACAGCGAAATATTTAGTCATACAAGACTGTCGTTGTCTGTCGATAGATATACCGCAGTGTTACCGATCGTACATTTTATTCGACCGTCGTCCATATTTGCTTCTCCTTCGCTGTTTAAAAGTCGTCTCTTTTACTCATAGTGTAATTACGCGTTGACTATGGTTGGTTCATTAAAATATAATGTAAACTTAACACAGCACAGTTCACTGTAGACAAGCTTGTAGTTTCTCGATCCACTCTTGCGCCGCGTTGGCGTCGCTAGCGCAGAAGTTGTACGTTCGACGACTTGTGCGAAGCTGGGGATGAACGATGTCGTTAATACTAAATTCACGTCACATTTGAAATAAAAAAATCTAAATTATCACGATAGAAAACTTGGATTTTTTAATTAACACTTACATCGAAGAATGATCTGTCATCACATTTCTTAGGAGGTCCAGGCGCGGCTGCAGCCTGCGTCACCGTTATCACTTCTGCTAAATCTATAAATAAAATTATTAATATTAGATATTTACACTAAGTTTATCTACAAAGGTGATATATTACACAAGCACACAAGTAGTCACGAATACTTGGGCCATTCCCAGGTAACTTTTTTATTTGAATGTAAACATTGAAACAAACAAAACTCACCAATAAACCCTTTGCAGTGGGAGTCCTCCATTGCATCGTAATACCGCAGTTGATGCTTGATTGAGTCCAATACGAACCATCTGTAAATTTATTTCATATAATTATCAGCTTTAAACATACCTAAATTCATCTTTAAAAAGGATTTCTAATTTTTGACATAAAACTCAAAAATAGCCACTGCTCTATAGTCCATTCGCGTTACTAAAATAGTGACGCATAGTTCAAGCCCCGCACTATGACTAATCAGATTATATCGTAGGAAAGGATAATTTCTTGGACCCTGTTTGGTCAGGGGGCGGCACTTGTTCTATGTGTCACTATTTTCTTAATGCAAAAGGATTATAGTGGAGATATGTTATGCGGGAGACAGAGATCCATCGTTTTAGATGAATGCAATGCTCAAGAATCGATTCTTATGGGGTGTGGCAAGGTGCACTTCAAGGTGTTGGCGAAGCACCCAAAATATGTATTTAGCCAGCATTGTATATAAAGATATACCTAAGATAAGTACATATCGCAACGCGTGCAACAATGCGTATATTATCAACTAGCTGACCCGCGCAACTTCGTCTGCGTCTCTCAATAGTAATAAATTTTCTCCGTTTTTTAATCATTCTTCATTGGTGCTCCACTGCTATTGGTCTTAGCGTGATGATATATAGCCTATAGCCTTCCTCGATAAATGGGCTATCTAACACTGAAAGAATTTTTCAAATCGGGCCAGTAGTTCCTGAGATTAGCGCGTTCAAACAAACAAACAAACAAACTCTTCAGCTTTATAATATTAGTATAGATAATATAGATTTATGAATGTTGTGTAATGAAATTGGTAGAACAATAAATAATCTTACCTCTGTTTCCAGCCTTTCAGTAACGCTCCTCGTTTATACAGGTGACCCTCGTGAGTTCTGTTCTCGGCTACGTTCGATGAGAACTGTTCGTAGTATTGCTGAGAAGACGATTGGAGGGTTGATACGCCTACATTTTTAAATTAATCATTGAATGTTTTATTTATGGATTATGGCAATCAAAATATATAGATTCGAAAGACATCGCAACAGGTAAGAAAATGGTAAAGACAGTTATTTGGCTTTGATTTTTTATAGTCACGCAAGTATAATATTATGGTTTTCGTTATGCATTTCAAGTTATTATGACATGGGTATTTTTATTATAAAAATATACAGAGAAATATGGAACATGTTTAGCAAGACTTTGTATTTAATTGTGAGAAAATTGTTTTAAGGCGTGGAAAGTAAATTTTTGTTTAGTCGATAGCAACGGTAATCATGTGATACAGAGAAAATAATCGGCCCAAATATTGTCAATATCGTCTAGTCGACGAGTGGAGAGGGGAGATCGTACCGGCGGCGAGCGGCGGGCACAGCGAGTCGGCGTCGGGCGGAGGCGGCGCCTTGTACTTGGTGCAGGGCGGCGCCCACGCCTCCGCGCAGCGCTCGTGGCACGCCGCGCCGCAGTCCACGCAGCGCACGCCCGTCTGCAACAAGGCGCCACACGCTCACTCACAACACCGACCGTAGCGCACACCGTACGTACGGCACCGCGCGGCTCACCTTGAGCGGCCCCCACAGCAGGTCCTGGCAGTGGTCGCAGCGCGCGGGCGCGGCGGCGGCGGCGGGCGCCCAGCGGTGCGCGGGCGCGGGGGGCGGCGGCGCGGCGGCGAGGCGCCCGCGCACCAGCACCTCCAGCGTGCCGCGCTTGTGCCACGCCAGCGTCGCGCGCCGCACCACGCCCGTACACATCGACGAGTTGCGCTGCACACACACACGCGTCACGTTAAACACTCGCCTAGACTTACATCTCTATGAAGCCTGACGACGTTGGCTAAGCGATGACCTACTTTCGTTAGTCGCGTCGATCTACGTTATACGAGTACGTTATACGATATTATGAGCCTATATAATAGCCATAAACTAAAATAATTGTCTAGAATTAATTAAACCAAAATCGATTCGATTCTTAAGATTCGATTAAGAAAATAATTATCGCATCGATCGAGCCCCGCCCCCTGCCCGATCGGGTTCCAAAAAAATATCATTTCGTACGAAAGCTTCGATCGATGCGTCACTATTGCCTTGACGTAAAATAATTCTCTAGGATTATTTAAACCGAAATCGATTAAATTCTACCTGCAGTTCCAACGTATTGGGAAGTTCGAGCTGCTCCCATCTCACTCGCCACTTTTGCGGCAAATGTCCCAACTCTAACTCCAACTGCCGTATTCTTTCCAACAGCCCGGTAAACGCGTCTGGCATGCTGCGAGCTATACTGTCGTACCTTAAAAATAGATAAAACGTCCATATCATATCACTACGATTGGTTATAAAGTATGACCACTAAAATTTTATTTAAAAAAAGTATTACATTTGAATCGAGAACCTGTCATTCTCATTTCTCTCATACATGAATCACACTGAAAGTTTTTAGAATAGGCCAATACCAAAAGCAGACGATGAGCACTTATTTAAAATTGGAATAAGGAACTCTTTGGAAATCTGTAATTGTTTAATGATTTCATAACTCATTTGTTATTACAAATTAACGGAAATTTAAAAAGTATTTGACGTTCGTTGTCGTGTTAAACAGAAAAAAAAATTGTTCAATAATTTAACAACAATATAACGACAGAATTCGATTGGCATTTCATTACGAAGCCCCATCTAGAGACACTTTTTACAAGTAATTTAATCAGTTTAAACATGGTCGAAGCAAACTGATGATTCTCGAGAAGGATGTCCTCCTACGCCGACTACTGAAGATAACGTGAGTGCAGTGCGGCTAATGACAAAAGGGTAATATAAAAACATTCGAGCAGCTTTAAACATTGGTATGAGTCAAGTACCAAAAGTTTACACGAACATTTAGACATCAGAAAGCTTTGTACTAGATGGATACCTCATAATTTGACCGAAGATCATAAACGCCGTGGTTAGAATTGGTGACTCTTAATGCTTGAAAAATATGACAGAGGTGACTCGAATGCTGTATATATACGAACTCGAAACTCAATCTGCAATGCATGTTTCTATTCGAAGATTTGAAAAGTAATAAAAGTCAGAAGTCAAGGGAAAAAGATGATTGCCTCATTCTTTGGACGGACTGGTCATTTCGCAACAATAATTCTAGAAGATGAAAGGACTGTTTACTGCAGATTGGTATGTCAATCATAGTCTACCAGTTGTCTTGGAATATGTTAGTCAGCAGCGCCCATGAAGCAAGATCCTTTTCCTCTAGCTCTCCCCGCTAGACGGACTATCAAATTTTTGTTTATCGATGTTGTGAAGCTAGTGAGTCATCCTCCTTACAGTCTTTTACTTTGTGACTTTTATTTATTTCCAAAAATAAAAAATTAAGTTAGAGGAATTTATTATATGAACAGTGAAGATGTCGTGGCTACGTTTGGAAAAGTCGTTTAAGAGATCGCTAAAGAAGAGTCGGCTCGCTGCTTCGGTCAATGGTTTCATCGCATGCGATGGTGCTTAGAAAGGAACGGAGACTACTTCAAAAAGCAATAAAAGTATTAATAGGCTTCCGTTTTTATTTTCTTAGAACAGCGTAACCCACGTATTCACTGCGTTCTCATATTTCTTCAAAAAATAACTTCATACGGTTCTTAGTTGTGTAACTCACCCTTGTGCGACAACTCTTCTTTGTGACGAGCTTAGGAGCATGTCAGGTTCAGTAGCTAATACTTCGAGGTCGTATGGTGCCCCGTGGGATAACTCTTCGCTTGTATAATATTGCCATACTTCTAGTGCACTTACAGATGATACGGGACGCAGGACCTGGCAACATTTATTTTGTCAATTGAAACTTTTTGACTTCTGTGTATACTTCAGAATACTTTTGAATAAATGCAAAATGTTATTTTTAATTAATTATGCTTTACCATCAGTTCAAACATCAATTCAAACATTATATAAAATATGGGCTTTAAAAAAAATCTGTGAAATGTATGGATGTATAATAAAGAGTAATACAAAAATATTTATACTATATCTATATTCATTTATCGATTAATAAACGCGAGAAATATTAGTTTTTACTAAAAGACTAAAAACTAAAAGATGACACTGGACAGTATAGTGTTCTCCGTTTTCACTTACAGGGTTGTCCAAATCGGGCGTGTAGAGAAAGTTGTAGAAGATGGGCGACTTCTGGTGGTGCCTGTCGATGTAGTCGAAGAGCGAGTGTCCGAGAGGCGGCGCGCGCGGGCCCGAGCCGCCCAGCGCCGCGCCGCCGCCGCACTCCTCCTCCGAGCCTCCGCCCTCCGCGCCCTGCTCGCACAGGTACACCTGCCACGAGCTCAGCTTGTAGTGGACAAACGGTACTAGTGTTTAGCTCCCCTCGTCTCTCTGTGTCGTGACGATTTAGAGCCAAACCCGAATCCCATGTTTAATGGAACCAATAATAAGTAAAGTTTATTTACCACATAAAAATAATAATTGACGACGTATATTTCACAACTATCTAGACCTACGCACACACACATAGAATCCATGTTCTAGAAACCTATTATTAATATTCACCTATCTTTTTCTTTTAACATGTTGTAAATATTTATAAATGTAAACACTCTAATGCAAACAGACTTTTGTATGTATTTAAACATTTGAATCGTCAAAAAACAAACTCTCAACGGCCAAAGTTGAATTCGGACTCTACAACCGCAGATCAGGGATTGCCATTGCTATAAATATGGTATACTATGGTGCCTATATAAAACTGACCATTCTGTTGGTATCAGTTCTCTTGTCATCAGCGGCGGTGATGCCGAGCTCAGCGCGTTGCGCCTCGCTGTCGAGCAGGAACGTGCGGAATCGACACGACACCGTGTGGTACGCCACGAAACGGAGGTAGTACTCGTTAAACTCGAACGCAAGGGGGAACTGCTTCTGGAGCTGGAACACAATTTGTACATTAGAAGAAAATAACGAAGGATAGACCTAACTATATAATAAAAAAAATCCAACATCGCTTATGTCATGTAATTTATTTCTTTACCTGGTGTACAGAATCCAAGAACATCAAGAAAGTTGGTGTGAAGCCTTGTTGAGGTGTGGCACCAATATTAGATCTTTGCTGGAATTTGTGTCCTAAGGCCAGCCACTCTTTCTCGACCAAGATGCGAAAACCTTCTAATGTTCTGTAGTAGGGCTCTAGGCAGATTTGAGCAAGAGAGGATATCTGTAAGACGTAAAACAGCAACAATAAAGTATTTGTTTAATAATATATCGTAGGTAATGATGAAATGTAATGTAATTATTGTGTTAAATACAAGTATTTTCCCCTGGGATAGGGCCTGATTAGGCATAGTTTCAATTCGGGGAGGACCTAAAATAACATGGTCCGGGTCCTCCTAAAGTAGGACACTTGAAGCCAGCCGCTGGGGTGGTTTTTAGTGGAATCACCACAACCCTAGTTCCTGAGTTTCCGAGGAGCTTTCAGTTTTTTCTAGTTTTGTTTTTGGATAATTCTAAGTATTTTATCATTATTTAATATATTTAACACAAACCTGAGCGGTGGCATCCCAGCCGTCTTCTAAGGATAGTAACACCGAGGAGCCCTGCAGATCCAACAAGTCCACCACGGCTCCGGACAGTTGGAACAGTTGCCGTAGTTGCCACAACCAGCCTGATTCCTCTATCAGCCTATACATGATATTCCGTAAGTGAGTATTTATATTCTCGAAGAGAGAGATCAATTTTCATTTTAGGTATTTTGAGAAACTTCCTGAGTGATTTTTGCTCAGAAAATCAGAAAGATCGAAACAATCTTCATCACAATTTGATATTTAAATCGTATACAAGAGGCGTTTATGCATCAATATCAGGGTTACGAGTGACGCGTGAGTACTGACCGCAGGAAGCCGGGTAGGTCGGCCTGCGCGGAGGCGTCTGGCGCGGAGGGCACGGCGGCGCGCATGAGCTTCTTGAAAGCGTGCTTGGTGCTGCGCGCGTCGGGGTACTCCACGGGCACCAGCTCGCAGCCCGCCAGCGCGCCCGCTCCGCCTGCACCCGCGCCCTTCTCGCACACCACGTACAGCGCCGCGCGCCGCACCCCGCCCCCGCCCCCGCCCATGCCCGCGCCGCTCGCCGCGTAGCCCGCCTCGCCGCACACTGTGCAGCCAGTCAATAGATACTATCACTTTAGGTACTTTAAAGGTTAAACACTTTTATGGAGTCAAGGATTTCCTTGTAGGAAAATAGTATTTTTATATTCATCTTACAACCTAGTTTCTAGCAAAAATAATAATAAAGGCAGTCAGACAGAAAAAGACAAACAAGCTTTAGTGTAAAATTAAACCTTAAGTATCGATCTTATTATAGAACGCGTTTTAAGTTTTACTCAGTTGAAACTACTTTTAAGTATTGATTTGAACTTACAGTCTGCTCTCAATTACGTTTCCGCATTACCGACATTATTATTCCGTATTACGCAGCTAATTATTAAAAAAACTTTTACTCACATAATTTCTGTGAATTTGCATATAGCATACTACGAGGGGTGATCAATAAGTAATGATAATCAATATGAAACAGAACTATTACATTTAAAAAAGTATTTTATTTTTCAACATAGTCTCCTTGCAAGTTAATACATTTAGTGTATCTTTTTTCTAAGCCCATGATTCCCTTAGAAAAAATTTTTTTGTCTTGACCCTCCCAAAATGCCTCTACTGCGGCCATCACTTCACTATTGTCCTCAAATTTATTGCCCCGGATGTGTTCTTTGAGCCGAGGAAAGAGGTAGAAGTCACTGGGAGCTAGATCTGGCGAATAGGGAGGGTGTTCGAGCAGTTCGAACCCCGTTTCTTCAATGGCAGCCATCGCAACTGCGGCTTTGTGAGCCGGGGCGTTGTCTTGGTGAAACAGCACTCCAGCGCACAGTTTACCGCGTCTTTTTGACTTAATAGCTTCTCGCAATCTTCTTATTTGGCCTGCGTAGTAAGAGCCTGTTATAGTGGCCCCCTTTTCCAAATATTCCACCATAATAATTCCTTCTGCATCCCAGAAAACAGACGCCATAACCTTTCCCGCTGAACTTGACACTTTGAATTTCTTCGGCGTTGGTGAGGAAGCTCGTTTCCAAGTCATTGATTGTTGTTTGGTTTCGGGATCAAAGTGGTGGATCCAGGTCTCGTCCATGGTCACAAAACGCGACAAAAAAATTCTTTATCGGCCTGGAACTTTTGAAGATTCACCCTGGAAATGTCGACTCGTTTCTTTTTTTGCTCGTCGGTTAACATTCTCGGTACCCAACACGCAGAGACCTTTTTCATATGCATTTTGTTAACAATGATTTTTTGAACGCTGCCATAGGAGATCCCTGTGACCTCAGCTACATGCCTTACGGTCACTCTTCGATCGGCCAACACGATATCTTCCACTTTTTTGACGTTTTCTCCAGTAAGGGACGTGGAAGGGCGTCCCTCGCGATGTTCATCTTCAATGGAGGTTCTGCCCAGCTTAAATTCCTTTGCCCAGCGTGCGACTGTGGAATATGGAGGAGCAGACTCCCCCAATGTTTCCTCTAAGTCGCTGTGTATGTCTTTGGTAGACATTTTTTCAGGCAGAGGTACTTGATGACAGCTCTTATTTCATTTTTCTCCATTTTGATGTTTTCTCTTCGACTGTTCGTATTCAAATGAATGTATCTCCCGGTAATGGTGTCCTATTTATACATTTTTTTGAAGCTGAAGTAGTGGATATATAAGCAAGCAGAAAAAAAATAATTTGGGTTTTTGTGCGTTCTAGAAATACTCGATTATCATTACTTATTGATCACCCCTCGTATTTGCAAGTGTACCGATGTAAAAGTGAATCTCGTTTTAAGTGACGTTCAATAATAAAATGTCCACTTAAAATTAGTTTTAAGACTAGATTCACGACTGAGACACCTTTTAAAATACGGGTCTTAGTCACTTAACGCCTTCAACTACCCACGCGAGTACTATAAATGAGAAATCACTCACTAGAGTCAGCGTCGGCGGTGGAGAGCCTCTGGCGCGGCGCGTACAGGTCGAGGTGCGAGGGCTGGCGGCGGTCCTTGAGCGAGCCCCAGCGACCGAAGTGGCGCGCCGTCCCACCCTTGCCGCCGCTATTACGACCCAACACACTGTCATGTGAAGTTAACCCTCACTATATCCAATATATTACACGTACGATAATGATACACTTATCATTTCATATTTGAGAATCTTTTGGTACGACTTTCCATTGACGTCCGTCGAATTGAACGAAAGGAGTGGGGTGGGGGTTGATGGGGAGGGGTACTAGCCCCCCCCCCCTTAAAAGGAAAAGTTGTGGAGCCCCCCCCCTTCTTGAGTTTTATAAACTTTAATTCTAAGGATTTTTTCTCATTTTATGGATTAAAATTAAGATTAAGTGTAAAAAACAGGGACCTGTTGGACCGTTAATAGCTTGTAATGAAAATAATACTGTAATTTAATATATGTATATAGTTAAATATATGTGTGCATGAAAACTATTAAAATGAGTACAAAATGTAATTATTTACGTAAATTAATATAAAATAAAATGTTACCGAACGTATGACAACTTAACCGTAGGTAAAACGAAACGTTCTAAGGCGAGAATTCTATACAATCTGTGGTAGGGATTTACATAAATATTGCAAAATTAATTGATTTTCAATTTTTTTTCTCAAAAACTACGCGTCTCGACATGTTAAAACTTTGCGTGTCTGCTTAGAATAATGTAACATTTCTGTAAAAAAAATATCAACCTCAACGACGGACGTCAATAGAAAGCTGAGCCAATCTGTTTTTCAGACGCGAATGTATGTATATACGAGCTTATATGCGCATAAAAACTGAAAAAAAACTTTTTTGTTACGTTTAGTAAAGACTATTTACTGTGAGTTTAAAAACGCTACTACCAAAAATAACGAAATTTCATGTAAATTTTCAACCCTCATTTTGCAGCCTTAGGGGTGGAATACTTTAAAATCTTTTCTTAGTGCACACCTAAGTCACCTAAGGTACATTTTTGCAAAATTTGATGCTTCTAGACAAAGCGGTATCAGCTGTGCGTTGATTGATCAGTCAGTGAATCAGTCTGTCAGTTTCTTCTTTTATAGATATAAATAATGACAAAAGTTATATTTTTAGTAGTGATGTGCCGGATCATTAACAAAGTATATCCGCGGATACGGATCCGGATACGGATATTTGGTGTCAAGATCCGCGGATACGGATACGGATACGGATACGGATCTTAAGTTTCTTACTCAATCGGAGCCTTGACCGTGATAGTTGTCGCCACTTGACGCTTTGCCGTTGATATTTAAATATTTCATTATTTTAATAAGCTAATACAAAGATGTTTGATTGATCTCATTATAAAGATAGCTCTTTCAGTACCTACGACCTGCCTAGTTGATTTAGTGTAGTGCGATAAATGATTGCAATACAAAGGTGCCAAATATTTGTTTTAAGAAATAAAAAGTAATCTGAACAGAATTCAATAGTTTTTCATAGCTACCTAATAACCATTATTCAGGGTTAAATTTAAATTTACTGAAAACCTCTGAAGTGCATATTAGGAACATAATAAACAACAACTTTTCTTCTGGACTAACACCGAAAACGAAAGAAAAAAAATTGTTTCTCCATACAAACTAACAACATTTGATTGGTCATTTGAATGGAGGGCCATTTTTTTTTTCATTTTGACGTTGGCCAGAAAAAAAGTTGCTGTTTATAGTGTTACAAACACATACCTAAGAGTTTTACAGTGAATACAAAATCACCTATATAGAATTTCATCTATGTAATATGTATTGAAAGATCCGCCAAGAAAGTCACGGATACGGATACGGTTACGGATCTCTCTTCTCCCTTGGATATCCGCGGATACGGATACGGATACGGATATCCGGCACATCACTAATTTTTAGTATTCCAAGTTAATTGTGAAAATAACCTGTTTAGTGTGGTGTAGTGACGGATTGAGAATACGGAATGTCACTACCCCAATTTATCCTGTGGGTGTCGTAAAAGCCGACTAAAGGCAAAAAACAACGCAGGACACCAGCACTGCAAAAAGAAGGAAAACTTGACACAAACCCTATACCAACCCGTCTGGCCAGCGTGGTATAGTAGGCCAAAACCTCCTTTCTAAGGAGAGGCCTATGTCCAGCAGTGGTCTATTAGAGGCTGTTGATGATGATGATGATAATGATAGAATATACTAAAGTTCTCTTTAGATATAAATTATTTAGCTTCTTATTGATTAATCGCTGCAATCAGTTCATAGAAAAACCTTATATTTGTGGGTCGAATGTCTTTTCATGAAATTTATGTAGTGTTATACTAATTGAATAATTGCTTACCCGAGCGTGCCAGCTGCCTTAGTGAGCAATGGTGTGTGTGTGGTCTGCTGGTCCTCGCAACATAGAAGCAAAGAGTCTAAACTCAGACTCGAGTCTTCGAGATCTCCTCGTGACGCGGGCGTGCACGCCACTAACGTTGCAAGAAATCGTTCCTGTAACAAATCAAGTTTTTTCAGTTTGCCATACATAACTATGATGAAACTAAATAGTTCTCTTTGTTTAATAATCCAATTCCAATAATAACTTATTGGAATTGGATCATTCCATGGAATCAATTCCAATTCAATTGTGAAAAATTTGAACTGAAATTAACTTGCAATTAAGTATAATGATTTACAGTAACAAAGTATGACGTCACAGATATCTATTTTTTAGAAATTCGTTAGTTGTATAAAATTAATCTATTTAGAATTGACAGTACATAAATTAAGCATTACTTGGAATACTTACTCATTTTAGTTTATTTCGTATTGTTTTTTTTTTAATTAATAAAATGTTACAGGTTATTGTTATTCACACTATGTACAGGTAGGCCTCTCGATTCAGTTACTGGAGGTGCGATGTTCTTAAATATATTTATATATTATTTTTATTTATAAAACGCATAAGTCTTACTTGTTCTAAACTGGAGGTAGTTTCAGTACCGCTTGGAGTAGTACCAGGTGTTTGGTGGCTTGACTTTAACATGCCAATCACGCCTTTATGATGAGGTGCTGCCGATCTGTAAATAAATTATTTTGTATTGTGAAATAATCTGAACATGACGGGTGAAAGTAAAATATTATGAACAGGATGTTTTCTTAAATAAAAAGGAAATATTCGCAGATCAAATGCGTTGATTTGATAATGTGGTCGAATAATTGGTGTAAGAAGGTTGAACGGTTTTAAGAATCAATCATCGCATAAACTTCTTTTCCTGTTTTTTTTTTCTGCGGTTACAATATAATTTTGGTGGTCTACGTTAGATGGCACTGCTGTAATTTCTTTTTCTTTTCTTTTCGGCGTATATAGATAAAGACACAATTAGGTAAATCTATGTTGAATTATAAATAACCTGGACAGTGTTGCATGTGTTCTTGAGTGTCGCCACGTAATAACAGGTAGCCGACCCTGCCGGTAACAACGCGCGATGCGTCGTAACGAGTCGTCACCGAAGCTCTCAGGGACCGGGATAACTGCAGGGTAACTGTTACGTACAACAAACAAGTTACAGGTCAAAATGTTTGTCAGCGTGGGTACCGTAAAGGTATGCAATTAATCAACATTACATAAGCAAAGTGAGTTTGTTTCGTTACTTTCATGCCTCAACTACAGAAGCGCTCTTTACTAAATACAGTATACATTTGTGAGGCATTTAAAATAAGTAAATAAAGTAGACCTCCTGCAGAGCGTGTAGGGCGCGTTGGCGTGCGCGAGGCGGAAGGGCGAGTGCGCGAGGCCGAGGCGGGCCCAGTCGCGCGCGTACACGCGCTCGCGCACGCGCTCCAGCGTGCGCGCCGCCGGGCTGTCCGCGCCCTCGCCGCCCAGCCCGCTCAGCTCCAGCTCCTCCACTGCACACAAACATTCACTATATTTTCCTTCTTCACTTATTGGGACTAATCCCACCCACACGCCCACCACTGTAACTCCTGTACACCAGGATCCACAGCAGTGGCCCACGAACACACCGAGTTATGACACTCGGGAAGTCCCAGGAAGAAATTAAACTGTCTTGGAACCCGCAACAAAGAAAATTGGAGGAGTTAGAAATAAGGTAAATCCTTCTTCACTTGTCAAAAGACATGTAATTTGATTCTTGTTGAATGTACCTACCTAATCAAAGATGGGTGGGCTCATGGTTAAATGAAAGGGGACACCCCAGATTTTCAAATTATAGAACACACAATTATTTCAAATCGATCCTACATTGTCAATAAACTTAAATAGAAAAAATATCACATCAACATTTAAATATTACCTTAGATTTGAAGATCAAAATGAACGTCTACATACATATTATAAATATATTAAAACACATCTACTCACGCGACAGTGTATCGGCAGAGAGCGAAGACATGAGTGGTGGGGAGGTGAGAGAGCGCGCGTCCGTCGAGGGCAGTACGTACTTCTGACGTTTAGACGGTTTGGGTTTTAATCCTGCTTTGCGAGCTGTCTTCAATAGCGTCTTTTTGGCAAAACCCCTGGCAACAACAAGGTTTCAATGTATAGAATCAAATGGAAGTCATGATTACATTGTGCTTAATTTTAAAAATAGTTTATTTATTTAAATAATATATTTCTTTAACTTTCACGACAAAGTTCACAAATTAGATCAGATTACAACATTATTTAATCTATACAAATAAATAAAATTGGAGTGTCTGTTTGTAATATTAAAATAACCGCTTTTTACTAAATGCATATGTATGTTTACACGGTACATATGCCAAAATAACATTTTTTACAATTTTTGTTTGTCTGTCTGTCTGTTTGTTCCGGGTAATCTCTGGAACGGCTGTACCGATTTCGACGAGACTTTCACTGGCAGATAGCTGATGACATAAGGAGTAACTTAGGCTACTTTTTTTAGACTAGCTTCGCCCCGCGGCGTTGCCCGCGGTTATAACAACAAACGCGGGTAACACCGCGGGTCTCAGCTAGTCTAGTATAAATCTATAAGAATCACACAAAGGAATCTTCACCACAAAAAACGCAAGCTCTCAAAGAATTTTAACAAGGCACCGCCAATTTTTATTTACAAATTTCCGCAAGTTTCCGCAGTTTCAATTGCATTTCATCATTTACTTACTTGAGGGTGTGGTGTTTAGGCTGGTGATGTTTAGGTGCTGGCTGGGCGCGTGGTGCGAGAGCAAAGTGCAAAAGCGGGTGTTCTGGATGTCGCAATCGGGCGACTTGTTTGCGAAAAGACTCCACGGCCTCACTGCTTACTTCCTCGTCTAATGCCACCTGAATTTTAATAACACCACTTCAATTCACATCTCAATATTACCACAATCCTATTTAGGCTTTCTTATAACACTTAATGGGCAATATCAAATAGAACGGGCTCTCACCTTTATAAGTTGGAACGTTGCGGATCTGAGTTGCAAGCCCTCTTGCAATGATTGTTCTAAGTGCGGCAGGTAGTGAGTCCTCACGGCTTTCTCGCGCGTCAATGAGCAAAGTGGAAATGAGCGGACCACTGTTTGCTCGCACGCTGTTTACAGAAAACAGTACTTATATATAAAACATGTTCCAAGATTCTTAGTCGCTGTATACTCGAAGAGTATAGTAGTGTACCTGACACTGAGTGGATACAGTTAGTAGTTTAGCTTCCGGGGGCTTATCAATTACTACTACTAGTAACCAGATTGGCAACATATGGTTTCGTATGAGTGTGGCTCAAGTTGTATTGGCCCAAGCTCAAAATTTTGATAATTTTTTATACAAGAGCCCGGAATGCCTGACAAACCAAGGTAACTCACTTGTTAAGGTGCTATATCTTACCGTAGGGGTCCGTTGGCGTGCCCTTGAATATAATCCTATAGTTGGTGAGGAATAGCGCGCCCTCTGCCGGCAGTAATGGAGTATGGCGTCCGTCACTCACTAGGTATGCCCTCAACGCTGGTACGGAGACTGTCTCGCCGGGAACAAGCGCTGGGGCCACTATGCGAGGCTATAGAACAAAGAAATAAAAGTATATTGTTGATACCTCTAGTAGTAGAGATCTAAAACTTATTCAGCTACATACGCGGTAGCTTGAGTTGAATACAGAACATTAAGTGAACTTTGGTTTTAAATAGAGTTATCCTCCAAATTGCATTTGGGTATACGCCGAATCAATCTTGATTTTCTTTCAGAATATAATTCTAGCAAGTAGGCCTTCATATGATGTGCTTGGTGCAAACTATAACAAACGATAAGTGGGCATGTGACATGAAACATGATATCAGCAAGTAATCAGGAAGCACTCACTGATGAGAGACACATGTACAAGCGGTTACTAAAGTCCTTAACTAAGGATCTATTTCATTGACCTACTTTACTTACCTAATTACTATTATATTGTTTATCACCTTCTAACAACAGTGGAAGAACTTCTTCGGAATAGCTCAATGTGTTCACAAACTTAGCATAAAGCATTTGTGCGAATATGAAAAAAAGACTACTACTATGAACTTCTTAGGAATTAATATTTGTTGTTAGGAATCAATTTATATTTTGTATTATATTTCAAACTGTTAACTAGTTAATTCATTAAGATTTTATGGAAAGCAAAAGAAAGCAAAATAGGCTATATAAATAAATATTAAATTCTTACTGTGTTATAATGTGTCTAATGATATATAATAATTAAAATTGTGTGCATCCATGGGCTGACACAGCAACTAGTAGTACACAAACTACACGATTTTACATATTGTGTTGTGAGGTGTCACAAAATAATTTTACAAAAGAACTGATGTAGTTCAAACAGTAAGAGTATACCTACTATTCTTGTTCAGTTATTCTTTTATATAAATTACATCGTTTAGATTAATTAGTTGATATTTCAGGTTCAACTCTATCCTAAGGTCACTTCTAGTAAATACCTCACACCGTAAGAATATTTTGTTAGCTAAACATTCCTGTTAGTAGAAATAAATGAAAGTTAATCCTATGGAAGAAGTTCGCATGCTGTGCATGTGCTCAGTTTGATTGGGGGTCATTTCTAACTTTTTCTAACGTTGGTGGCGAGTGACAAGTTAATTTTTATTTTTAATACCTCTGACAGCCAACAAATAATTTGCACGCACATGTCACTAGAGCCAGTTCACGTTATTAAAACTTATTATAATCTATTGTACTAATAATAATCTATTGTACATACATACATTAACTCTGATAAAACTACACTCCTTTTTAGGCATTTGTGGTACAAGTGATCTCAGTTCAGTTCAGTTTTAGAGTCGTAGAAAACTCGTTCTCAATTCGTTTTTTTTTTATGTTTGTTACCTCAAAACACGGCTATTTACAAAAAAAAAATTGAAAATTATTTTACTATGTAGAAATTAGTTATAATATAGATAACTGTTCAATACAACACCTCACATACTGGTGTGGCCAGAAGCGTTATGCATAGCCAAAATATAGCCTGGAAAAACTGATTTTGTTTTTTCTCTTCAAGTCCTTTTCTCGATGCAGGTGCTTATTTCTAAACAGTATTAGTATTCAAGTGTACTTTACTAACTTTTTAACAATCAACATACTTTAACGACTACTCATTTAATATGTTTTGTTTAACATTTTGACAATTTTCTGACTTTTCAGTTACAGGTATGATCTTCAATCCCCGGCATTGGCGTGTCGTCATATATTTTGTATTTTTACACAGACCACCCCGAACTGAATAAATGAAAACAGGAGTTTGAAATGCTGAACTTATTCACTCAATTTGGCAGTATTTTTAATCCCTCTTATAGTAAGCTCATGATGTATATCTTTATTTTAACACAGATGTCATTTACTGAAACTGTTAGACTAAACACTCAAATACATTCAATATAAACTCTCATCTCTTTTACTATTTAACTCAAAGCCAGGCACGATTACAATTTTTATATTCTTATCGCGACATAGCTTCCTATATAAACATTACTATGATATCTCTGAGTTCAGAAAAACGTATAGAAGGAACAATATCATTATGAATTCCTTAGGTATTGGTTGATCGGCGGTAAAAAATACTGGAAAGCATCGTAGATGAACAAGCCTTTGTAAATAATATAACTGTATACAAAACGAATGCGGTAGTATCTCATTAAATGGCATCATCGCCGGGTAATTCTATTTGGAATGTAACAGAAATTTTACTATAGCAAATATAAGGACGTATTTTTTATTTTATGAAAATGTACATAAAACAAACCATTAAAACATGAAATAAAGAGTTATTTGGATTTGATTTAGCAGTTACTCCGTATTTTTAAGGGTTTACGCAATTTGAATTCATTTAACGAACTATTACGAATTAATGACTGCCTCGGTGCTGCAGGGGTAACGTATACAACTGTTGTGTTGAGGTCTCGGGTTCGATTCCCGAGTCGGACCAAATGTTTCTTTGATATGCAATTATTGTTTTCGGTGTTTAGGCGTTTTCTATGTATAATATTTATGTAGTATTATATCAGTCAATCTAGCTTTCATAGTACAAGTTCTGCATAGAATAGAATAGAATATTATATATTTCATAAAGGACAGCATACAAAAATAAAAATAAAATTTAAATGACAACATACACAAAGAAAATAAAAATCAAGTAAGGTTTGATAAACACATTAACAAGGCAACATTTTTCAATGTACAAATCTTTCATACCTGACAGAATTGACATAACACGTCATCAATGTGCCACATATCTAACCACGCGTCTATGAAATGTTACTTATAATAAATATTACTTATTAACTAATACTTATCAATTAGTTTGAAACTAGATGGCGTTTTGTGTCAGATGTTGGAAAATATTCTAGAAAAAATATTAAATAACACTTACAGTTACTGCACTTACTTAATCTTTCCCATTTATTAACCCATTAATTTATTTTATTTGGTATCAAAAACAATTTTAGCATTTCTAATAGAAATAGAAGCATTCATAATTGTGTAATGTTGCTACTGAACGCGATATCACTTAATAAGATACTGTCATATCCACATTTATTCACAGAATTTGTATACTACTAAATCGAAAATTGTTTGCAAATATCTCTATTTGTAAACAATTCACCAGGTTAGATACCACTAGATTAATATATCCATGAGACTATGACTACCTACGTGTGATTCAATAACTAAAATAGTGTATCTATACTACATAAGGCTTGCAAATATTCGATAACAAAATATTTGATATCGAATCTTAAGATAGTGAATAGGTCAAAACCAAGATTTATGTTAAACAGGAAAAAGAAACAGAAAGCTTTCAATAACAGAAATGATTTATTGTTAAAAATATTGTCAAAAAAAAACAAATATACACAAAATGGTAACATTTCGTTGTAATAGACTGCATGCAATGATTAAATGAGAAAGAAATAAAAGTGACTATTTTACAAACTGCCAAATTACAAACTGTGAATCGTTGTCATTCTAAATGCAAATAAAATGTGTAAAATAAAACAGTAATTGATTTTGCTAGCTAGCAACAAAATAAAGCAAAACATTAATTTGAACACTATTCGACTAGAAACTGGCAACATTTATAAAGTCTAAGCTACGATCAATAGGCGAACACACGCAAACGCGAACTTGAATAAAAGCTGATTATCACTGAATTCACTAAACGCAGGCGTACTTACATCTCAGTAGTATAAATACAAAATTACATCGATCACTCATAAATGAAGTCGTTTGGTTGTTGTTCCATCGACAAGTGTTTGGAGTATATGACAAGATTTTTTCTTCCTACCTTCTGAACGGGTGGCAAGCGTCGACTTTCCCTTGCGACCGCGTCCAATGTTTCTAAGTGCATGTGCACTACGCCAGGTATCATCTGGTGTAGGCAGCGGACGTGGTCTGCTGTCACGCCGCCCTCTGTGCACACCTGTCAAATAATCATGCGATAAATACTTAAGAACATAATTGATTAGGAGCCGGCTTATTTCTGCCGAAGCATTAATCTCTCAACTTATTACTGTTTACCTTGTCATTATGGTATGTTTTACTTTTTTAATTGTGCATGTGACAACTGTGTCACTTATTTGTAAAGGGGAATGCCCATTTTCAGCCATGAAACGCCCAACAATTTGGTTTAAAAAAAAAAACTTGTTTTATGTTCATTATCCGACTGGTTTCGTATCTTGTATGCATGTTAAATTTTTTATTACCTCATATCTTTCAAACCGCTACTCGGATTTATTTAATCAACATATCTTTAGATTCGTCTCGATAACCCAAGTGTACTTAGATAGGTAACGCTAAAAGAAACCAACATGTCGACTGTAAGACGCTATAGTTTAAAGTATTTTTTTTTATTCTGCAATATGTGTATCAAATTAAAGGGCTCATCAGGCACCATATTTGAATTTAAACAAATATGTCATTTATTTACCTATTCAACATACGCGCGGATGACTAGGTATGTTTGTGAACTTTAAAGTGACAAATGTACATCTAATAAATAAAATAGAATAAATAAGTTTTGTATGGAAGTCCAGAATTGTATGGAATGTCGAGGACACCATCTAGTATCGAGTAAAGTACATCTATTAAGATCGTGGTTTATAGTTCTTATCCTTGCTTGCAGCGCTAGAAGGCGCTGCAAGTAACGCGTGACTGATTCTGGAAAATTCTTGTTTGTCTGGAACGGACTATCGAATACTAGGAATCTTTTTAGTAAATTGGATAGCGCTATAAAAGCGGAGCGTGTTGACCGTTCGACACTATCGTGTCGTCGTAAACAACACAGCGAATTAATTTCAGAGTGAATTTCTAGTGCGACTAACGAGATATATAGTGATTTCTAGTTTACAGTGCAATAAAGTAATAAACCGACAACTTTTATTTATTATATACCCTGCTCGTAACATAAATATAGATATTAGATCATAATAAAAAAATATCCATACCAAAGTGGAAAAAAAACAAGCAATATAGTGTAATATTTATATAAAAAGAACAGAATAACGAAGTTATTTCTGCCAAATTTGTAGCGTACCCCAATACCATAATATTTATAATATAAGTAAATAAAGAAATTAACAAAATGCAAATCTCTGTTAAATATAGATATCTTAAGTTTTTTAAGGCACCTCAAAAATAATTTTGACTGAAACTCACTTTATCTACGAATCTGGAAACCATTTTGATGACATTGTTACCAGCCTCACCGGGGTCTGCCTCCTCAAACCCCGACTCTGCATCCACGCTGTCAGATTCTGCGACGCTGTACACAAAATGTTTGGATTACTAAAAAATCGTCACTAACTAGTCATTAGTTGAACACATTTCATATCTAATACCTTTATATAAGCAATTCTTGTAGATATGTATATATATATATATATATATATGTATGTATATATATATATATATATATATATATATATATATATATATATATATATATATATATATATATATATATATATAATCTGAATTTCAGGGGATTTTGGGGCGATTAATCGACCTAGCTAGGTTTCAGTGTCAGGGTGAAGTAATTAATTATACTATTATTATGGTAAGACTATACTACAGGACATCTTTATATGCAATATTTATAGGCTGTACGTCCGTGCTGCTGCCACCCGGGATAGACGTACGGCCGGAAGCGGCGAACGGCCGCTTTGCCCCGCATTTTAAATCTCTGATATCTCCTAAAATATTCATTTAAATGATATGTTTTAAAAGGCCATTTTGATCTACATTAAATGCACAACGCATCTAACGTATTTATTTAGATAATGAATAATATTGTATTATTTCTAAATAGCATCGTAAATTACCCATAATTTTTTGTAATTTGTGAAAAATAAAAATGGTTACTGTAGGTTATCCTTAGGAGATAGATCCCTGACACTCGCGGAGTTTTTTGTACACCTTTTTAAGATATACACTTTCATTGTACATTATTTTGATCTATCTTGTATGGTTTAGCCAGCGTTTGCAATGTAAGCGCACAAAAATGATTTTTACGACTTCACATTACAAATCTTCAAAGTAATCGGATTTCCTCTTCTATAATATTTAGTATTATGACTATAAATCCGCCTTTGGAATCAATCTCTCTATTGGTGACCGAATTACAATAAAAAAAACACATTAAAGCCCTTGAGTAATTTGAAAGATCTAAGCGTACAAGATAAACAGAGAGATTTCATTTTATACTATTAAAAGATATTTAAGGTATCTGGTAGATTTTTATGAAATGATAATTTATGAAATGATAATTTAATTGCAGAAATATGGTACATGGGCTGTTTATAGTTATTAGAAGAGAATCACATATTTCGTCAGTCTGTTCTGACATGCAAAATTTGAAACGTACATGCATATTACAACAAAAGATTGGTTTTATAACAAACTACTAAGCTCATGTCAATAAACAATTTACATAATGTCAAATATATAATTGCAATGTCAAATTTTTTAATCCGATAATTTATTTCTAATATAGAACACAACATACAATAAAATATTATCAAGTGCTTTTGTATTTATCGCTCGTTTAGGTATTCGGTCACTGAGTATATCATTTTTTCCAAAAGCCATGTTTTCAATTTACTTTTAAATTTCAGTAGGGGCAACGCCTTTATGGTTGGTGGCAAGCTATTAAATATTTTGATACACATATTATAACAATTTTTTTGGAACAGTGTAGTTCTGGGAACAAAATCCAGGACTAGTCTTTCACTGCCCCGAGTGTTGCGTGGGAACATATCTTTTGCCTTTTTAAATAGACTAGGGTTACTTTTAACAAATACACTTACTTTAAAGATGTACAAACAGGGCAACGGTAATATTTCATATTTTCTAAAATAAAGTTTGCAAGATTCATAAGGAGGAATGCCCACCATAGCCCGAACACATCTCTTCTGGGATAAAAACGCTCGGGTAGCATCTACTGAGTTTCCCCACAACAATAGACCGTATCTCAATACAGAACCTACGTGACCATGATAGGCGAGAAGTACTGTCTGCTGAGTAGCGGTTTTTCTTAGTCGGTTAAGCACGTAAACAAAAACTATTAACTCTTTTGCAGACTGAATCGACGTGTGTCTTCCAGTTGCAATATTTATCTAATGATAATCCTAGAAACCTAACGCATTCCGTTTCCTCTATAACAGTATCGCCATATCTTATTTCTCTAAGATTTAGTTTTGAGCTTTGTGTTTGGAATTGTATGAAATTGGTTTTGGAAAGATTAGCATTTAAGTTATTATTTTTTAGCCATTCTATTACGGATTTTATTGTGTTATTAATATCAATGTCATAATTTGTACCAATTTTAGATGTCAATATAATTGAAATGTCGTCAGCAAATAATATACATTTATGAGTAGTAATGTCTGGTAAGTCATTAATATAAACTAAGAATAGTAATGGTCCCAATATACTTCCTTGAGGAACCCCATATTTGTTAGTTAAAAGTGTGGACCTCTCCCTAGTGATCACTGAATTATCATTTTTAATTATATCCACACATTGTTCGCGATTCTTCAGGTAACATTTAATCCATTCATGTGCTGGGCCTCGAATTCCGTAATTCTCAAGTTTTTCAAGTAGCAGTTTTTTACTCTATCCATCGGGTGTTCTTTATTACCTGTTCGTAATACTATTGCTCGCTCTGTCAGCATCGTCGCCTCTCACATCGGCGCGTCTGCCAGCGCCCTCCAGCGGCAGCAGTAAGTAAACCATCCTGTTTGCGTAGTGGATAGCTTGACTGTAAAGCGTGGATTCTTCGCTTTGTATTATCTCTCTTTGTTTTTCTGAAACATATTTATAAATATTAAAAAATCTTAGAATATTGCTAATGGGAGGTTTGGATGCAAAAGTCGTAACTATTTGCTGTCGCGATTCCTACTGTAAAAAAAATTTCGTCAGCAACGAGTCTTATAAACCTTACGACATTGAGGCATATAGCCGGGGACGTGTGTATAATCTAGACAGCAATCCTCCAGATCTAGGTACACCTGGCTACAAAGCTAATTACAAAACCTGTCATCATCATGTCTCTGCCGAGACCTGTTTCTTCTACCAGGGCATACAGAAACGGGCGAGGAAGTAAACGACGCGAATAACCCAACGGCTCTCGATCTCTGATGCGTCTAGCTGCGGCATGGCAGAATCCATGTATATCCACTTCAGGTGGTTGATATTCGTTAATTCCCAGTAGACGCGCAGTTCTGTGGCGCCGGCCTCGCATTTACTATTAGACTTAACCACGCTATCCAAAAGGGACAAAAAGGTCGCTATGCAGAGAGTAATATGCACGACGTAAAATCATACCTTGTGGTAAACTAGGCCATAACCGCATTTGTTCTGCAGCTATCTCTAGCGCACTTGGCTCTTGCGCCTTCAGAAGAGATATGTACTCCTCGTCGTCTCTGCAATTAATGTGCAATACTGTAGTTTTTAATATTATTAACGTATATGAAGCAATGCCTTGCTGCCACGAACAATATGTCAGGGAATATTATGAAGAGTGCATTTTATACATTTACATGAAAATATTAAGAACGATATAGATATAGTAAGGATTACACGGTAACACTTATTCAACAGCGAAGATTACAATTTTGCAGGCACGTTCGAAACATTATAATGATTGTTGGCTGGATAGCTACTAGGCTACATACGGTTGTTACCCTATATTCCCGTAGGCGAAAAAAGGCATAGTTTTCTAACTACATATATTACTCCCCCTCGCATAACAGTGGCAAGCCTATTAATATCACTTGGAGGATTAAACAAGGTAAAACTAGAAGTAAATTCGACTGTCTCGGTGGTGCAGTGGAAACGCATGCGACTCCTATGCTGAGGTCTCGGGCTCTATTCCAGGGTCGGAACGAATGTGTTTATGATCTGCAAATATTTGTTTCGGAGTATAGGTGTTTTCCATGTATAATATATAGGTATTTACAAAAAAAAAAAGTATATAAGTATTCTATTAGTCAATTTAGCTTTCATAGTATAAGCTCTGCTTTTATTATTATTATTAAAAGAAAATGTATACAAAAAGATGAGCAATGGAATGAAGGTTAGTGGCAGTGACTGCTAAGCCGGAGGTCGTGGGTTCGATTCCCACCCAGGACAAATATTGTGGGATGAGCACGGTCATTTGTTCTGTGTCTGGGTGTAATTTATCTATAATATATATGTATTTAAAAATATATAAGTAAGTTTATCAGCAGTTTGGTTACCATAGCATAGGCTCTGCCTAGTTTGGAACCTGACTGCCATGTGTGAGATATATATTTAAAAATAAAATATTTTCAATATCAAGTTCTTCAGATAAATAAGCTATATATAGTTTTTTACCTGGGGCTAGGTACTCTCTGATGTGTAGGGCTGGGTAGGTACAGCGCTTTAATGTCTCTTTGGACATCTTGATAAAATGCTGCCTCCCAGAATTGTTGACTCGTCCACACGGGATGTTCCTATTGCAAAACAAATTATACATATCACTTTGTTCTTCCTACAATGAAAATAATAAGAATAGAGGAATAATAATAAGAATTGTACATTTCATTACAAACCTGTATACACATGTAAGCATATTGGATGACGCCTGTGCACAGCTTGCGACAGTAAGCTGTTGCGAGCGGCAACATCGCTGCTGCTATTGAGTGCTCGTCTAGTGCAGTTGCTGCCTGCAATGCGCAGTTCATTAGCCTGTAACAAAGTACTAATTTTTAACTTCCATTGAGTTTTTAATAATTTCAAAAACCAAGTGTTAGTTACTTTCAGACGTACGTGTCATAGAAACAATGCAAAATATGTATTTCTATATTACAATATTAATAAATGTACAATTATTATGACAATAAATGACATAGACTGCACTTATGGCGTAGTGGTTTAAGCGGTCACCTCGCCGCCTCCTACAGTGCTGTGTTCGATCCCCACATGGGACAACACTTTGCGTGATCCACAAATTTTTGACTCTAAACGTTCTTTGTGGCCGTTTGACAAATATTTGTGTCCCCCGCGACACAGAATATATTCCTAGAGTGGAATTCTTTCGTTGCCTTTCACTGAGTGAGTGAGGGTACCGGAGCCCAAATCCACCCTTCCGCTGACTCGAGCGGGAGGGACTCTAAGGGCGGCAACGCACTTGTGACTTTTGAGTTGCGGGTGTCCATGGGCGGCGGTGGTTGCTTGCCATCAGGTGACCCGTTTCGTTATACCATAAAAAAAAGATTTAAAAAAAATGATAAAAAGTAACAATTTATTTTAAAAAAACTTTTTGTAATGTGTTGCACCACTAATTAATTTGGTTACTGGTACTAATCTTTGTAACACTAACCAAATATCGTTCATAAGGAAATGTCCTATTTCAAATACCTAAAGCATATTTATAAAAGACTAGCTGACCCGCGCAACTTTTCGTCTGCGTCTCTCAATAGTAATAAATTTTCTCCGTTTTTGAAACATTCTTCATTGGTGCTCCGCTCCTATTGGTCTGAGCGTGATGATATATAGCCTATAACCTTCCTCGATAAATGGGCTATCTAACACTGAAAGATTTTTTTAAATCGGACCAGTAGTTCCTGAGATTAGCGCGTTCAAACAAACAAACAAACAAACAAACAAACAAACTCTTCAGCTTTATAATATTAGTATAGATAATTTATAATCAGCATGAGTTATTAATCCAAAAATTATACGAAAATTACTACAATAAATAACAAAAGCCTAAAATATAAACGTTCTGACCTGTCATTGTACGAATGTACGACAGTTTAAGTTATACTAGTCATTGTGTACATTCATAACTTAGCGACTTATGGACGAACTTAAACCAGAGTGCAATGTTTGAGTCATAATAAGTACATAATAAATTTTAAAGTACATAATAAAAAAGTAAATGCATTGATGTTTCTGGTATATGTGAAGATAAATATCACAATATTGAACAACATCATGTTATCAGATATAACACAACATGGCCACTGAGCACGCCATTTCATATAATTATCCGAATAATATCGCACAGAGTACGAGTATGTTTGATCGCTTAAATTGTTACATATTTTAAGAAAAAATAACTCTTACTAGAACTCTGTTTTTAAACTAGTCATTTATCATAGAAATCGAAACATTTAATATTAAAAATAAATGGCGCCACTATGAAGTCAATCTATTGTTACAGAAGCTGTAAGAAAAACTGAGACTTAATTTTTTTCGATATTTCTGTGCAACTGTCAGGAGCTATTCTTTTATAATTAGGATAATATTCATTTAGATTTCGTCCCGTTGAATCAGTGATGAAATAATTAATTATATCTATACAATTATGAGAATAAAAACACACTTCTTAAAATATACAATTTTAGTTTTTAAAACTAGGCGAAGCCATGACTATCAATAGTTAATACACAATATATAAAATGTTTTCCTGTAGACAGACCCATAACACGTAGGTTGTTAGACAAGTAAAATGCTGAAGCTGTTGATGATCAGTGCACTGCTCAGTGGCGGCCTCCTGATGGTGGAGTCTAATAGTGACGTTGTAAGTACTTTTTGTACTAACTTTAACAGTAATTATTATTTGCTTATTTAATAAGGACAACCAGTTGATGATACATTAAATCTTATGCATATGAGAAAATAAATTTACAAAAAACTAGCTTAAATGCACAGAATTCTAAGGTGTCACCACAAGTAAAAAAAAATAATTAACAATTAAAATAAATAAGGAATATGGATATTACTTAAGGCTAAGGTCAACAACAATCTTAAAACAGCTTTCTTGTGATTTGGAAGTTTGTCGTCAAACACATCTACTTCCCCGCAGATGTCATTGTAGGTTGTGGACAAATGGCATGTGATTGAAAATTGCTTCAGATTGGATGCAGCCGTTGCGAATAATGAATCCAAACATCTTAGATGTTTTTTTCATGACTCAGTCTACATATGGCAAAAAAGTTAATTTGCTCTCGAATTGAAGTCCTAGGTCTCTTACCTCAGTCTTTTCTTGTAATATAAACCAATTAATGTGATATTTACAACCGCAATTTAATAAAGGCCAACCTTTATTAAATTGCGGTTGTGCAAAAACGTAATGCTGTAGCATCAAGATCAAGATCCATCTGAAGTAAGTCACAATGAAGCTGGTTAGTTATAGTTTTACATAACTTCATATCATCGGCAATAAGCGCTATGTTTAATACAATTACTGCCTGAACAAAACACGGCATATTGCCTGAACAAAACACATTTTTTTCATAAACTACTGAATACTTAATAATTTACATTTACACAATAGTTGATGACAGAGAATTTAATAATTTAGGGGTCGGTTAAATACGAGTGCCTGATCACCGAGTGTATCACTGTTATAAAAAGCATACATAAGATTTTGTTATTTTAGCTAAATTGTCTATCTCTACCATCTAATGTTTTCAGACTTATCTACTGCCAGGGTCTGTTACCTTGTCTGTATATCCCATACGAGATCAGCGATTTTAAACAAGAAACAAACAAAAAAGCTCTTCGGCTATATTATATTATGTTTTTGTATGGATATTTAAAAAAAAATATTTTCAGGGCCCAGGCAAGTGGAATCTGATAGACATAACTAAATGCGAAGAGGCATACCACAAGTTCAAGTTCGACATCGAAAAAAAGAAGATTAACCGGACACATGATGGTATCGACGCGTACGTGACATTGGATGAAGATTTCACCGATCAATTCGCTGTAAGTTCATTCCTTCTTGACCAATCATCATATAAAAGTGTCTCAGTAAGAGTGCACTTTTTAAATTTAGTATCATTGTTTTTTTCGTGCAAGTGGCAGGTTTCGTGCAAGTGACTCTGAAATTGGTAGCTGTCACCTATGTTTATTCCGATTATTAAAAAATGGAGCGCTTTTCGAAAGAACAACGGATTATAATTGTGAAAACTCATTACAAAAACGGGGAAAGTTACGCTGCAACCGCACGCAAACTTCGCCAAATTTTGAAGAAACTGGGTCGATTATGGATATTAAGAATATTTAAGAATCCTTTGCGTCAACGTACCGGTCGGTCTCTTGAAAACATTGCTGCTGTAAACGAGTGTCGCCGAAAACCCGAAAACATCAATTCGGCATCGTTCTCAACAATTTCAAATTTCACGAAGCACTATGCAGCGAATTTTGACAAAAACCTCCACCTTCATGCGTGCAAGATTCAGCTAACTCAGGAGCTCAAACCAGCAGACCATGGAAAGCGCCGGTTTTAATGGGTAATGGAGCAAAGTGAAGTCGTTGCCAATTTTTCGAAAAAAGTCATCTTCGTCTGAATTTCCGTCTGTTGAAATTGTCGAATTTGGGGCTCAGAAAATCCTCATGCAATCCATGAGAAACAAATGCACACACAACGTGCAATTGGTGCGGATTTTGGTCAGGCAGCGTGATTGGGCCTTACTTTTTTTAAGATGAGGCCAAAATTGCAGTGATATAAATATGATAACGGGGTTCTTCTTACCTCAACTGGACGGCACGGATCTGGACAACATGTGGTTTCAGCAAGACGGTGGCACCTGCCACCGCGCATAAAACAATCGACTTATTGCAACAGTGATTTCCAGAACACATTATCTCACGAAATTCTGATGTCAACTGGCCATCAAGATCGTGCGATATAACGCCGTGCCATTTTTTCTTTGGGGTTTTGTGAAATCTCGGAGTTATGTGAATAAATCAGAAACAATTTATGAGCTCAAATCAGATATCCAACGCGTCATCGGTGAGATATAGCCACATCTCTGTGTAAAAGTCGTGGAGGATTTCATGAAAAGAGACCTAATGGCCTGTCATCGGAACCGTGGGAGCCATTTTCCAGATATTTTATTCCATAGTTAATCGGAACATGTCTTCTTTACAATCCAATAAAAATATCACATACTGAGACACCCTTTAGTTCTAAATCGTTGATACGTTTTACACGTTGTGACACATAATAAATTCAAATAAATTATGGTATAAAACAACACGCTTTTGCTAGCGAAACTAAAAAGTAGTAAATAATTTTCTATACATTCAATAGGAAAAAGTATTTTACATCTCTCATGTTCAGTAAGTAGGTTCTTATTACCTCCAAATGGGGCTTGTAAGTGACTAATTAGCGCTCTAGGGTAATAATGTAGCTAGAAAAGCCCTAGGGCGGTAAGTATTTAAAAAAAAAAAACACTTCTTTCTTTCAAAAAGTTCGCGTACATCTAACCATTATACTGGCAATAGACATCATGCATTCAGCCCAATGACCAAAGAGGTCGCTTTGCTATTCAGCCTTGTCTTCGTGTGAGTATAATAGTCATCAATTTTAAATATCGAACGGCGAAGCTCAATTTCGATCTTGAAAAAAAAAATTAAAAAGTTCTTTACTTGAAAAAAGGCGGGAATAGAAAGTAAGAGTTAAAGAAAGAAAGTAAAAGTTACTTTAATGTTTTATTCTTGTAATGCCGGTTTTTTTCTACTTACCTCACAATCGAGATGTAAAGCAGAATAGTTAGCTCGGGTGTAAGCATCAATTGCACCCTCGAACTATAGGCGCCCTCGATGTCTTACAGCCCTTGGCTACTAATCAACTATTATCGTATAAAAGCGTGGGGTGCTAGATCTCAATTGTTGTAAATATATTTTACTGACAGATATTGGTAAATGTCGTTATGATATTATAAAAAACCTTGAAAAGCACCCTACGTTTTTTACTATAAAATGATTTTTCTATTTGAGCTTAGAAAAAATGATTTCCTACTTTTTAGTTCGACTAGCTACAAATGGGTGTTTTTGTAGTCTTTTTAAACTATAATTTATTTTTCCTTTTTTAGTAATACTGGTGATTATTATCTTATTAAGACTAAATAAGTAGTAATAAGTAAGTTTATCACATATACTTCAATACACGCCTTTTTTACGTGGTAAAAGACACAACTGTATTTTTAGGTATGGAAAAAGCCGTTAATCCTGAAGGATAATGGAACAAACAAAATAATTTAAATTATTGCCTTGTCATCGGTCCTTGATAAGTGTGCAAAGTTTCAATTTATTCGACGTTTGGAAGTTTGTTAAAATCACGTTCGAAGATTCCGTTACATACATACATACCAAGCTAATAAAAGCGTGTTAAAAATGACAATTATAGTGTTATAGTGCGAGTCTGACTCGTGCACCGAAGTTTCCCTATAAACTTGTATGACTTCCAATGTCCCTGTTCTACTACGGTAAATATTAGTGTCAGAAAGAAGGCAATATTAGACTTAGCATCTTTGAGTGCAGAGTAACGTCATTAAGATTCTTAAATAATAATTACAAATGCGAAAATGATTTAGGTGTTGTTTGCTTTTTTTATATACCTTTACGGAATAAATATGCAGATGATGGAAATTTGCACACCCTCTAGACAATGACTATACACAATGACAATGAATATAGCTCGTCAGACTACTCATCAAACGAAGGCGTGTAGTTATGGACTGATTCAGGCTAGCCACGGTGTGTTGTTATTGTCTCCCACAAGCCAATTATTACTACCGTTGGGAAACAAAGACCCATTTCATAGGCGGCCAAATTATTCCTAGGTACACTTTTCGAATATGGTCTACATATGTTTCAGATGCGCATAGACATATGTAAAGAAGTTGATGGTGGATGCAAACAGTACCAGGTAATTACGGACGAGAGCTTCGTGAAATTCATATACAAATATGCCAAGAACAACGTGAGAACCTGTCTCGAAATGGGTAATATCGATCCACCAGAATTTCCCATACCAGCGGTACGTCGGAACATTTCTATTCTGTCTATTGTTTCTCTGTTGTCGGCAAAAGGTTTTATACCTATTTCACGAATCCAATAATATACAATTTTCTCCTTTTGTCCAATATATAGTCCGCGTCAGATCCTTGGTGACAGTCAAAGTGTGCTCATTGTTGTATAGAATTTATTAAATTGTTTACACCAATCCATCCGTTCAAAGTCATGGAAAGATATCAAATTCATAATGATAGCTTTGCATGTCACCAGGTCATACCCTATCCGAACTGTAAAGCTACAAGTACATGCCCACCAATGAGTCAGACTAACTAAGTATACTGAAACATAACTGAGAATTGACTGCGAGGATGGTGTAGTTGTTTAATGTGAATTTTGAGGGTTCGATCCCCCAGGGTTCGATGGAACAAAACTTTGTGTGATCAACACATTGTTGTTGTGTCTGGGTGTTCTTTGTGTCCGTTTCTTGAATGTTTGTAAAGTGCCCCGGGCATAGGATATATTCCTAGTGTGGCGTTGTTTTTGTGTTTGCGTGGTTTTCTTATACTTAAAAACAAAAAGAAAGAACTTATATAATAATAACCAAATGTGTTAAAGTTGAAAGTTTTTTAAATCCCTTTCCTTTTTTTTATTTTGATGTTCCTAACATTGTCCTGGCAAATGAGATCTATAATAATAATAACATATAATATAATAAATAACTTATATTTCTAAAAGTCTTAAATATGTAATTCACGTCTTTATTTGTCACGTCGTTATGTAAAAAGATTTAATGTGCTTCCAGTTCAGTAGCAACATTTAAATATTTATTGTAATCTGAAAAAAAAGTTATAATTTCCAGGGTGAATACGATATAAAAGAGTTTATTTTCAACAACGATGAGTTGCCGGCCGACGGTCCGTACGGCGAGTTTGCCGCCAGAGGTTATATGCTTAGAGGTTCCGAAGAGATAGGCTGCATTGAAGTTTATGCGGAATTTAGAAAGCAGGAAGACTGAAGAGTAATGCCTAAGTGCTAATAAATATTAATGACAGATAATACACATATGAATAAGCTTTGTTTTATTTTACAATTTTAACACAAGGTTACTAGGCGCAGACCTGGATGCCAGCGTCCTATACGATCCTATACGATCAAGGCCATCTATAAGCCGGAGAGGGTTCAGGGTTCTTCGGGGTATCATCCCACCAGTTGTCAGGTAAGGTAAAAGGTAAACTCCGAGGATATATCTGCACAAAAAGAAAAGGCATTTAAAAAATGTCTCACCTCACGACTAGCTCGAACTGATGGTGGTGCAGCAGATGCTTGTTGCTGGGCAGGCGCGAAGCGAGGTCCCGCACGAGCGCGGCGCGGGCGGCGGGCGCGCGCATCGCTCGCAGCACGCCGGGGAACGACTTGCGCGCGTCCGCGTACCGACACTCGAATATTGCCGCGATGCATGACCGTAAAACCTATCATCATTACAAAAAAAAATTAAAAAATTGGGCTTCGATTATTATATGAAATTACACTTTTTTAAAGAAGAATTGAAACTTTATTGCACGTATCTAACAAGGTTCGAAGGACCAAATGAAATGAAGGCCTTAAGAAGGGTTCGGTAAATGGTGACGAATGCCGTAAAGTCACTGATTTGTTAATTGGATTGAATAAATATTTCCTTTGGCCTATTATCCATAGTATAAACATATGTATATCGGTGTACCGAATTATTTCACACCAATGTTACCGCATAATCACCTGTTAATGTGTATAGTTAAATGTGCCACAATTGTTATGTATGCATACCTCAAGTCGTCTAGCGGAATTTGTGAGCAGTAAGTGATTGTACTCAGTAGCACCTGTAGGCGGCGCTGCTGGCGGCACGATGCGGGCTTGTGGCGGACGTAACGCTGATAATCTGTTAATTATTTCATTAAGAATCAGTCATTATTGAACGATTAGACACCATGTAATCATCCGTTATTTAATAATCAATAGCACATACTTGGTTTGACTAGTTCTTGCTTGGACTTCCCTCATGACTTCCCGTACTCGAGCTGCGTCTAGTGGTGGTAGTGGAGGTTGGTGAATGCGGGATGAAGCACCTTCTGGTGGTCGTAGTATTCGTTGCTGGAATGCCTGTCAAAGACTTTACTAATTATCTTTTCATCACAGTTGTGTTCGTAGGAAAGATAATGGATATTATATTTGTCATGAAGTAATGATTATTTTGTTAGCGTTTGGAAGGACATGACACCTGTGCTTCCACAGTGGTGAACCTGACGTAATTGGAAGCAGCCTTCAAAGAATATCCGTAGCAACACCATCGCCAGCATCGTGTACACTTCCACAACGATAATCGAGTCCCAGCCAGCCAACAACCTCGGCCACGACAGGGACCACCTGCAGGTAGCGACCGCTCCAGCCTGGTTAGCCCTACAACTTAACGCGCTCTCCAAGACACGAAGGAGTCTCAATGTTTAAATAAAGGTCACCCATCCATAGGCAGACCTGGCTAGTATTACTTAACTTTGCAATGTGCTAATCTACTCGGTTAACAACAACAATATTATTATGAGTAATATTTTAATTTACTTGAAGATTATGATCTCACCTGTGGATTAGGATTTTCATTAAGATGTAACTGCATTGCTAGATCCTGTAAATGTTGCAGCTCTAATTCCGGGTTTAAAGATTCTAACCGCTGTTGTTCAGGTAAATTTCTGAAACAAAAAAAATACATTAATTAGGATTTCGTTACCAGAGAAGTGTGCAAGGTACAAATATTAAATATAGTGTACATTTAAAAGTAAAGATCAGCATGTTCATGCTCTCTTGAACTAGTGGGCAAACTGACTTAAAGATGAAAAATAGCAGGGTACAACCAGATTTATTACTGTTCTTTATGTTAGCCTAACATTAATCGCAGCGGATTCACAGGATTCACAACGATCCTGGGATTAGGATATCTTTCTTGATTGATTGATTTGACGGGCCTGTTGGTCTAGTGGTTAGTGACCTTGACTGCTAAGAAAGTGAGTTCGATTCCCACCCAACACAAATAATTGTGTGATGAGTACAATTATTTGTTCTGTTATTTATCTATAATATGTATGTATTTAGAAATATTTTAGTATGTTTATAAGCAAGATCATCATACATACAGCAAGTGAAGGAGGAAAAGTGGAAGTCGTGGCCTATTAGGAAGTCAAACAGATCGCAAGCAACAGAGAGGAATTTCTTAAATTAAGCGAGAATTTATAAGCAGTCTGGTTACCATAGCACAGGCAGGTTACCATGGCAGGCACCAAATATAATTATAATATATTATTATCTAGTCCTATAAATTATACTGAATACTAACTGAACTAATTCGTCCCATATATCCGTGGCTCTCCACGGCGGGCCGCGCTCGGCGACCAGCCCGTTGAAGAACATAGAATCCAGTAGGCGCACAGCGAACTGACAGGTAGACAGACCACGCGCGCCCAGGAAACCCATTTTATGGAATGTCAGTACCGGGGACGGATGGATTCGAATTATCGTGAGACAATGTCTGGAAAATCAATGTACATCATTACAAAAAGATATGACAATTGGTGAAAATGCACTAACTTCCTTATCACTTGAAATCAACTGTAATTACTTTTAATAAATTGGTTTGTGTGAACGCCGTGAAAGTTGTTAGTCGAAACTAGGGATGCAGAAACTCATCTTAACATGGTTTAGAAAACCATGTTAGGATGAGTTTTGATGTCAGAAGGTCACTCAATTACACTTTGAATCACTCATGTTGACCTATTTACTTGTTACTGATAGTGTTCTCTAACTTTACTAATTGTGTTAGCCTTTACAACACAAATTATTGTGATGTCGATGTTTCTCACTCACCTATACCCCTGCAAAAGCTTCGCCAAAGTTCTCATAAATACAGCCCTAATTTCTTTATCCAACATATGCGGTAGAGAGGATGCGGGTGGCGGGGGGGCGAACGCTGAATCCGCAGACCGAAGCTCTGGTTGCAAAACTAGAGCCAAAGCTTCTTGAAGGGACGAAAGAAGTTTCCCTTCAGGTTGTGGAATGTTAACACCAGCTGGGATGTGTAAGGATCCAACGTCCAGGTCGGCTACGATGACGTCCAACTGGAAAATGATCCAATAGCATTCTCAGTATTATTTTTTTAAGTTATTTTAGCATTTTGTTAACTTCGACAATAGTGATTTTACTAAAAAATTAACTAATGTTAAACAAGAAAATACATGGCCTGTTTTTAACGAACAATTTTCTAGAAGTGTTCTGTGTAACAATAAAAGAAATCTTACCAGTTCTGTAACCTCCTCTTTTAAGCTGGAATGTACACCAATTAAAAAGGGCGTCGGTGTAGCCAGGACCTCAGCTAGCCCTGCTGGTAGCAGCGGTATATAAACATGGGCATATCTGAAGGGAAACATTAGAGCAGCTAGCGCTCGACAAACTGCTGCTAACCGGGCCGCCGCCAGCGATACCAGGAGAACTTTGTGCTCGCTCATTACCGCACACCATAGCGTTACAGAATTGTGAATACCTGGAAACAAATTATATTTAATTATTAATTGTAATAATAATTATATGACGACAAAATGCTCTCACTAGTAATCGCTAGCTTGCTTAGTAATCTCTAAAAATAAAATTGTCTTATATAAAACAACTATTTTTTTGAAGACCAAAAGTCGTTTATTTTTTTATATAAATATATGATACTCATTTATCAAAAAAATATCTACTTTTGTGAGAGAAGTATTGTTCTCGCCAAGTTTAATGATTCTAGGTCAATAGGATATATTCTATAGGTTTAGATATGTTAGTAAAGTTAAAATATAAGACATAAATGGCCGTAGCTTATGACATAGAAGGTTGATTTTTTCAGCTCCGATTAAGTATTTTTATTTTAAAAGATTACATATTACTTAAAAAAGGTTTTGACAGACAGAGACTTAGAACGATTTTGTTTTCTTATCGAGGTACGGAACCCTAAATACAACATACCAAGTAACCTAAGCAGCATGTAGACGGCGGTGTGTGTGACCGGCATAGGCGGCGCCGCGGGCGGCTGCAGCGCCTGCCGATCCCCAGCTCCAATGCTGAACCGGACCTGGGGCCCGCCTGCGTCGGGCACCAGCACGCCGCCTACTAGGTTACCGACCAACGTCTCCAGAGGCACCCCTAAATTTTCCACCCATACTGTATATATAATCCCGAGGCAATTCTGAAATGTAACAAGCAGATATAAAGTTTTAGATAACAGCCTATCCACTAGTAACTAGGTTGAGCTTAAAATTGTAAGTGTGCTGGCTGTGTACTTACTAGCTATTGCGGCCATAACTTTCCTCATATATGTATACATATATTTTTTTATTATGGCTTTAACTTGTTGAGCTGAGTTAGTTCTTTTGATAATAATGTACGATAAGATGTCTCATCCTGTTAACACTTTTCCAATAATATGCATGCAAATGTATAGTCATTTAGAAAACATACCGTTTTCTCGAAGATTAAGGCACAATAATTCCAACATGTTCACACTTATTGGGCCTTGTGTATGCTTATGAAGTTAGCTCGGCTTGTGCCAATTCTAACACTTTTTAGAGTAGTGGAGGCACAATGGATTCAGTATTGAGCAATATTTATAAAGTTTGTCAGTTGTAAAAAAAACATACACAGGGGATAAACAGTCTAAGACAGTAGGCATCGGTCCTTTGACACGAATTTTTACATTAATCGTTCGACTCTCAAATGATTCATAATAAATTCTGTAAATACACTCACTCTGAAGGTATCGATGTAATCTTGGCGGGAGACGATGACAAGGCATTTGGGCGCATACATAATGCTGTGATGTGTGATGTTGGACACCGGTCGCGCCGATTCTAACGACTCTTCGTCCTGTAAACAATAGGTAAATTAATCTTATTATTTTTGATTTTATACACCACTTGACAATAAATACGTATAATTACAATACATATATGTTCATACTACCGGGTGTAGAAATATTCATAATTTGATCTTGTTAGCAAGATTATAATTGCTAAATGGTATTCTAACAAACAGAAAAGTATTTAAAATAAGGTTTTATACCTTATTTAAAAACCAAATAATATTACGAAAACTTCGTTTTCTTTGGACGTGAAATGAAAATTGAACATGAAGCTGTGAACCGCCCTTAATTCAAAATGAGCTCAGCGAGGGTAGACGAAATTTCATTTCGTCGTGTGATGACTCCAGCATCGCAATAAACGTATTTTTATAGCAAAACACTTAAATGTGAGAGCGAGTACCTAATGACATAAGATTAATATTTATTGATGGCAATACCGCTATGTTTTACTACTATATTTATTGTTTTTTACAACTTAGAAGCAAACAAGCAGTGCAACGTCTGTAATTAGTTAACGGTTGGCTTTTTAACTGATTATCCAAAAATTATTTGACATATTTGTTAAATCAGATTTTGCAATGTAGAAGTTGTTGACTTACAGAAGTTTGCCCATGAATGTGATGAAATTAAAGAAAGTACAACTAACTGTAGCGGTGTCATTATTCGTTCAAAATATTTTGAAACTGATGCTGCATACCTTGTCCCACTTATATCACCTAAAGCTACAGTACTTCTTTCCTAAAGATATTAAAAATATTGTTATATTTATGAGAGTTACGCGATCGCGTAATACATGGGAGAGTGCCGGTTGGGTGATGAAATTTCAGTGCTAAAATTCAGGATTCTTTCTGCCTACTCCACGTCTTCTGGCTATTCAAAACAATACGATACGAAAGAATTTTTTTATGGAATTTTTATTTTTTATTTTTAGAAAACTAACAGCTGCATAGAACCGTGTGCATTTTAATAATATGCTAGTAATAGCCAATTATATAAGTTATCACATACAACTAACTAACTTCGATAACTCATAATCTTTTTTGTTAGAGGGGGTAGACGAGCAGGCGGGTCACCTGATAGAAAGTGACCACCGCCGCCCATGAACGTCTGCAACTAAGGAGTCACAAACGCGAGTCAAAAAACTTACAAGTAAACTAACATAATAAGGGGAAAAAAATGAAATTAACCTAATGCTATACATCGAATAACTGTTTACACGTGATCCTTTTCTTGAATTCTGCCTCCTCTTAATTGTATAAAAGCGACTAACAAATATCACCTTAACTGCAAACCGGAACTTGAGACACACATGGGGAAACGTTAAATTAAAAAGGGGTATAATTTCAACATACATACGATTATTTAAAGCTATTTAACCATGTACCATCTACTCTTTGTTAATTTATTCTGAAGGCCATAGCTTGTCAATAACAATGAAATCATAAGGTTACAGTGCTTGTCGATATAGTTTGCGATGCCGAGTATTCAAGCAAATCGAATTGTGCAAATCTTCACGTTTCTTTACTGAAACAACACTAAGTTAAATGTTTTAATATACCTAATACCTTAAACTGTAGTACATGCTATTAGCCTTACTGACTTCTCTTTTGATCATCAAAGGTAACAAAATCTCAATAACAATGAGAAAATATAATACTTTTTTGCTCTTGGTCCCAAAGAATAAATACACACTTAAATACACGTTAGTGCTGAAATAGGTAGGGTACAGCAAGTGCTCTAACTATATTACTCACGACGTAGCGCGGCTCAAGTTATCTTATGAATACATATTATACCTAATAAAATAGTTTTATACGAGACAAGACGATAGATTTATTTTTTTATTTATTATTTTTATTATTATAGCCTCATCAACACATACTGCATTTAAAAAATAACATACAGTATGGCACAGTTCCCATATACAGAACCAGAAAAGGCATGTACAGTGTAATGATGTAAAACAAAAATCATTTATGTTCATGGAAAAATTAAACAGAAATTATAAAGTATAGAACCTATTTCAATATATCATCTTTGAAGTTGTGGAAAGAGTCATGAAAAATATTCAACTGATCGAGTTTGACAGAATATTGCACCGGGCTCAATTGCTACGAGTAATCACGGGTGTTGGGTTTTTGCTCAGTATTAACTCAGCGGACTAAGACAAAGTAAATTCACGGTATAGAACTATACTGTTTAAATAATCTTCTGTGATATTAAAGTAAGGATTACAGGAACTTCTCCACTAAGAGGGTTTTATATTCTTTAGGATTAGAGCTCCTCCATAGAATGAGATTTTACATTCTTCCTACAGAACTCGAATTGGAGCAGGTGGTCCATATGTTTGTTTGGCACCTGAATCGAAATCACTGTTGCTAAACTTATTGAAAATAAAAAATACATAGAAGTTCCATAAAAAAGTAATATTGTGAATGACACAAGGGTAGAAATGCTTTAGCAACCAGCTAATCGCGTGGAGCCGGCGCTTCTTCCGCCGGCGACGCGGAAGCCACGCAATCATAATAGTAATGAGTTCGACGGAGCTATTCTACTTATCCACATACTCTTATAGAAAGACAAATACAGCTAGCAGCGTACAGTTGCTCAGCTGAGTTGTCTAATGTAAGCCAATGAACTATATAATAACTCGAATTCGACGATTAAACTCGTAAAGACAATTTAAATCTGAGCTCTAAATTAAAGTATTACTGATTACTAGTTCAGAATTCCTCAATCAGAATATAACGATTCTTGTATTTTTGCTAATTTTGCTGTTCGTTAATTTGAACCTTCAAGATTTTTGCTCTCCGTGAGGAAAATTAAAACTCCGTTAACTCATTCATGAAATATATAATAATACATTAAGAATTTTGCAACATATACTTACGAGAGATTTTGTTAACCAAATTTATTGTTCATTTTCCTTAAAAAATTATTACAAACAGCAAAAAAATAATTAGCCAAGTAGGTATCCGTTCTGAAATGTTGCGCTTAAATAAATTGGCAATTGCTTTTCTTTTCATATACATAAATGATGCGCATTAGGCTCCCACACATGTCAAGACTTTTTGAACACATGCTGTTAATGTAAATATTACCACAACTATTGTTCTAAAGCGTCACTTTTGACATAAATGCAACTTTAACTATACACATATATGCATACCTACATATAGCGTCACTTTTGACAATTTTTTCCAGTCATCTGTTAATATGTAAACAGTTATTCCTGCTTGTGGTTTAATTTGGTAAGGTCCTGGAAACTAACATACACTAATATATAACTACACATTTATACATTTCATATTCGTACACTATGAATGCTGGAATAAAACTAAAGTTGTGTACTATCGATCAGTTAATACTGCCATCTCATTAAGAATTACTCTCAGTCTTGCATTTGTCAGGAATCGTATTTCATGGGTTTTTTTTATATCTATCGTTTGACCTCAATTAATGCGACCTGTGTATGTAAAACTACATCGGAAATAGTAAAACTGCCTGCCACACGTCAGAACTTATGGTTGTATTCAACCAATATTGAAAACTATGTTAATTTTCCAGTACTCAATGGCTAGCAACTGTTTTTGTATTAGTTACGATAAATAAAGTGATTTAAAAAATAACAATATTGAGTCCCAATTTTCTACAGCGAAGCCTGGTATCTCTGGAAAAGGGAGAAAATCTGGGTCAAAAATCGTAAAACAACGAGGTCAATAACCTCTAAACCCTCAGTACCACCCTACACAAAGTACACACGTAAATAGATAGATCTACCGTATTAAAAATTCAAGGGTGAATCATTTTCTTCAATTTGATTATTCTGGATACAAACATTTTAAGATACGTTCATTATCTTATGAGCTTTGATAAAACAGTATTACTACTAGTAGTAAAAAAAATTGAAAATGATTTAACAAGATTTTTTTACATTGAAAATTTCGGTCATGGGGAAAAGCTAGCGTAAATTATTAGGTAGCAAATTATCACTTAAATCATGGCAACTAAACCCACTATTACTAAACATAATCATAAATAAAGCATAGATTTTTACATAAGGGGTATCGTTTCAGCTTATTAATCATTGTGTAAACTTCATAGTCTTCGAACGCTTGTAATATAACTAGTACATTGGCAATACTGTAGAAATCTTATTGTTTTTTTGAAGCTATACTTTTCTTAAGAGAGCCGTCCCTACATACGATGGCGAATGATGTATTTTTAATGATCAAAATACTACATACTATAATTTAAGCAGAATCAATTTGAATTACAATGAGATAGAGACTAATAAAATAAATGCATAGGAATAATAATCCTACTTCATTGGACCTGGATTTATTTATTGGATATAAACTCTGTCTCGTAAAGTAAATAATAAAAGTAAGCCATGAAACAGGAAGCACTAAGTCAGGGCTATCCTTTCGCAAACTGAGTGTTAGTTCTTGAAACATATAGTTTAAAATTGTGAAGCTTGATGCTGCATGTAACACCAGGGGACTCTGTATTTTCAACATTTTGTTTACAGAAGCCCAGAAATCCACCGAGATGGTAATGGGATTTATCAAGAAATACACAAGCACGCTATAATTATAGCGTACGATGATCACCGCCTATTGTTTCCCGTTGTGTATGTCTATTAAACATCGAGCGTTCGCAGTGTAGATCATTATAACAAAAATATCTGGTTTTCCAACACTTACTTGAAAGTTAGTCTTATATCAAGCAAGCAATTGATCTGTAAGTGCAACAGGTCGAGTATTTTTTGCCCGGAATGCCCGGTGATAAGAAAACCGCTCAAAATTGGAGTTTCGCAGACCAAGAGAACCTGCATTGCGACTGTAGTATTATCCACCAATCAAGATGTTGCATGTTTAGACATTACACCGGAAAAACGTTTGTATGTTTCCGAGGACGATGTAATAAGGAGGTAAGTACCTAATCGTATAAAATATATATGCAGGAAATGACTAGCCACAATCAAAGAATATTCCACTACAGA